CGTGCGTTTTTAAGGGGGGGGGGAGGGAGGGGTAAAAGGTGTGTAAAATGTGGGGGAGGGGGGGACGAAAAAAAAAAAAGGGAAGAAACCCCCCCCCCCCCGCGCCCCCCCAGTGAACACGGTTCAAGGACATGATCGCGGACCTTTGCCGCCCACCGTCACATGAAAAGCTGAGAAACAAGACCTCGCACCGCAAAGTGGCTTCGGTGTCTACGTTTGAGACTCAGCAGAACAAGTCCCGAAAGCCTTGGGGGTCAAGAAGCACGGTGAAACGGGAGGCAGGGTAACAGCGAGGGTGTTAAAGTCAGGCATATGAAGCGTGCAACGGCGGGCGGAACACTCTTCGGCAGCCTACATCTTGCTTCCTGCCCGGAGCCGATGGTTTGGTGTTGCCGTCCTGTCCTACCGGTCACGGTATTCGTTCTGTACAAGGCCATCAGCCAGCCGGGGGGTGGGCGCTCACCCAGCCTCAACCAGCACCAGCCTTGCCATTCAATGTCTGTCCACATATTGCACCCGCCGCCCGTTGTCCCCCCGTGGAAGTGTCTCTGTTTCTCTCGGTCTAGGCGCCACAAGTCTGCTGCCCATCGCCCGACCGACAGTCGCCCAGACCACCGGAGCGCCCAGTGCCCAATGCCGTGCTACCTTCGGCGTCGGTGGTCACCCAGTCAAGTCATCTACTCAAGACGAGACAAGACGAGGCGAGGCGACACGGCCGTGTGTTGAAGTTCGTGGTGCCGGTAGCTAGCATGTCAAGCAGTTCCGGGCTGAGAATGAAAAGAGCAGAGACCGCACAAGGCGAGGTAAGCTACTGCCGCCTGCAAGAGCACCGTGGTAAAGTGGTGGGTGGTCAGTTGCACGACCGACCAACCGTTTCCCGTTCGTTTCTGCTTTCATACATATGTGCTGTTCCACGGTTTTGTGCCACAAGCCGAAGGGGTCCTTGTTTTCATTTTTCTTGCACACACCCCTTTCTCAAACTCTGTTACTGTGCCTACCCCGGACCATCAACCATATGGTGAAAGGGTTCGCCAAAGTCCGAAGTCATCGGTGGGTAAGGTCTCGAGCCCCCAGCTCCTTGCCGCCAACAAGCATTCCCTCGGTCGAGTCAAAAGGTTGGGAAGGAATCCATCGGAAGGTGGAGGCGGCGCAAGGGTAGGAAGGCAAGGCAAAAAAGGGGCACAGCACCTTTCAAAGTCCCTGTGTGCATATCGCTCCTCTAGCAATGCTTGGACATCCGGGACCTAAGGCTCCTCGGGGAATGGTCAAGTCATTAAGACTATTTACACTACAACATGCCTCGCGGCGTGATACTGCCCACCCGGTAGTTTAGCCACCTATGTGCATACCATACGGACCTAGTCACTGCAAAAGTGCTCTCTCTCCTCCCCAATTCGCTCATGACTGGTGATGATGATGACAAGGCGTGTGTAAAATTCCCACCCCTAACAAGTAGCCTCCCAAACACAGTCAGCACCACATGTCCATCTCCATCTTCCAGCAACTGCAACCCAGCATAAGCATCGCAACCCTTTCCACACCACAGTTAACCTCCACGGCATTTCCCGCTCCTCATCCTGCACAGCTTCTCCTGTTGACACCCCCCTTTTCGGATCCATCACCCCCAACCCAAACCACCCATCAGAACCAAGGAAAGCAACTACCTACAGTGGCTAACCGACATCAAACTCCCCGAAGTCCCAGAACTTCAACTGCAACAGCAGACGTCGGTCTCGGTCTCGGCTGTGGTGCTCTTAAAAGACAACGCACTCACTAAACCACGAGACACAAGCTCACGGAGGTAGTACTAAAACATTCAACACTCCCTGCTTTGATTCTGATGAATGCCCAAAGACAAACCCGGCGAGAAAGATGCTCACCCAAACCGAGACAAAACACTCAGAAAAGAGACCACCACTTTCAGATCCTGGCATGATCGTAAGCTTCTGCTGCACAGCCTGAAACCTACAGACCCACCCGCATATGCATCCAATTTATTACACAGAGCGGCAGTCCTACCCAACCGTACCAGTCATGAAGTGACATGAGCCTGTGAGCCTGTGGGCCTGCGATAGTTCTTGGTTTTGCATTTCTTGTTTCTCTCGAGTTCCAACGCGGCTGCATGGAATGCATTTTATACAAGCAGAACCGGAACCATTATCCAGGAAAAGATTCCCTTCCAAGAAAACAAGAGAATGTGTAAAGAAAACAAGAGAATGCGTAAAACAAACAGTAAAATCACCAGGTTTACTTCTAATCTAATCCTTGTGCCTATGCATATGTCCCTTTGGCAGTGTCATGTCGGGTTGTGCCATGTTTATACCACCCTCATGCTAGAAAAACAACATCAACTCCGGTCCAGTTCCGGTCCCCTTGATTACCCAGCGAGTCCAGTTGACCCCATGGAGAAACGAGTCTTCAGGGTGTCCAAGATACAACCCTGTTTGCAGACGATATCGAAACAAAAGCCCCCCCTTCCGTAAACAAGCCAGCCATCCGGCCCATATCTAAACCTAGCCATCCAGCCATCGCCGCAAAACGACATATGCAAGAGGTGGGGAAGCGCCTCCTCTCACCGGGGCAGCATGTAAACATGCCTCTTCTCAATGGCCGGACCTAGTAGAGGGCCCGCTCTATCGGGCGGCGGTGGATGGGTGCGTCTTCTGAGGAAAAAAGGGGTGGCGTAACGCCTCTGCAGGCGTGAGCCGTTTGTCGGGATTCAGCGTCAGGCAACGCTCAAGCAGGTCAATGAAATGGTTCAAATCCCTGGTCTCCGAGTCGTTCATACCGCTCGAAGCCGCGAGGAGGCGGGTACGCAAATCCCGGGTTGGCTTAACGACGGGCAAGGTCTTCACTGTGGTCTACAAGGTAGGTCAGTAAGGACTGTCAACTCTCTCTTTGGATGGGCGAGTGCAACGCAGGAAAAAGGCTGACGACGTTCAACGAGGGCTGAAAGAAACATTTCCCCAGCCTTGGCACAGGCATGACGGGCAAAAGAGGGGGGCGTCGTCGGGCAAAGATGGTCATCACAAGCGACGATTGGGACCGAGGCGTTCGCACTTGACGGGTGTCTGCCGCGTATCTGGGGCACGCTTCTGCACATCGGAATATTGGGATGGCCTGGCTCGAGGCCAAGCTCATACTCCCCGACCTCAGCAGCAGGGGTTATGGCCCGTTAGTGGCCACGAATTAACAGACCACGGGCACAGCACCCGCCTGACCCGTTTGGCTGGCCCCAAAAAAAGAAGCGGAATCCAAATAGAACGGGCGTCTGGTGTATCAAAGGAGTGTATGTGTGTATGTGCTGTGGGAAGTGGAGGATGGAAAGGGATCGCGCATTAAACCATGCAGCAAAACAAAAAAAAGCAGGACTCACCTTTCCAAGAATTTTGTCCCGTTCCACGCTGATGAAGTTGCCGAGCTCGTCAAAGTGTATGCTCGACAGTTGGCCGCGTCGGTACATCTTGGCACTGAGCTTTCCGCGGATCTCCATGATGTTTTTGAGCATCTGGTTGTTGCTATCGCCAGTAAAGAGAATCTTGCCGGTATACAACTCGTAGAGGGTGCATCCAATCGACCACATATCCACGGCATAGTCGTAAGGCATGCCCAGGATGATTTCAGGGGCACGATAGAATCTGCTGACCAAGTACGGTGTAATCTCTGTCGACGCCGTTGCCGCGTCAGAACGATCGATGGCTGTTCCCAAATCGCAAATCTTGAGCACATTCCGCGCCTCGTTGACCTGCAAACAGAGTCAGCATATGAGTCCAGTTCCTTAGCCTGTCACGTCTTCGTCTTACCAGAATATTGTCAGGCTTCAAATCAGCATGGATGATGCTGCACTTGCGCATATGTCCAAGGGCAATGAAGATTTGGGAGGCATATATCCGAGTCGCATTCAAATTGATGCCCACATTGTTGCCAAACTTCTTCAAAACTTCGCGCAGGTTCATGCTCAAATTCTCAAACGCCATACACAAGTGGCCCTTGTACTCGAATGATCTTTCAAACCGAACCAGATGCTTTTTGTTGTCCGGGTCGGCCGCGTTGAGCTTCTGAAGAATGGCAATCTCTGTAAAACCGCCTTTCCGCAGCGCATCATTGTTCCGCATGATCTTGATTGCAACCACTTGCTTGTTGGTGACATCAACAGCACGTGCTACCCCTGAAAACATGCCACGGCCGAGGGTAGTGAGAACCTGATAGCGACCATCGAGGAGCTCACCAGGCCGAATCTTGTAGTAGCCGTCCTTGTCGTCCCCCTCGATATTTTTGCCGCCTGCGCCATGCTGAGGTCTACTATCGTCAGCTGCCGCAGCCTTCGGGTGCGCTGGAGCTACGAATTTCTGCTCGTCGAAGTCATCCGCAAACATGTCGAAGTCATCGTCGTCTTCGTCTGCTTTCTTGGTGCCATTCTCTTGCTCCCCCGAAGCGGAAACCGTGGCAGCCTCCGGCTGAGAGGGGTCTCGCAGCTCACCATGTAACCCTACGTTGCCATGTCGCTGCTCATCCCGTTTCTCGTCTTCCTGCATGTCCACGGTCGGGTCATAATCTGCAGCTGAAGGGCCATCCTCGTCATGAGACTTGGCTCGAATGTGAGCATTAATGAGAGCTTGATCATCAGCAAAATTGAGGGCCGTTGCAGACATGTCCTCTGGGGCTTTACCAGGGGACAGAGCTGGTGATGAGATGCCGTCTATAAAATGTTAGTGGTGTTGAAGTTGAAGGTGGAGAAGAAAGTTTGAGCACTTACTAGAGTTGGGAGTAGCTGCGTCCACTTTCAGGAGACCAGGGGTGCTCTGGCGAGTGGATGCTGGACTGGACACGTTCTTTTCGCCAGCCTGCAATGATTGAATAGTGGGGGTTGAAGCTCCAATACCTCTCTTGTAGGCAGCTTCTCTGAGGCGGCGACGACGTTCGATTTCGGCCTTCTCCCTAGCTTCCTCGTCCATGACAGCATCCGGGTCCCAGTCCATGTCAGGTTCGGCAGCCTGAGCAGACTCTTGAGTGGGAGTACTAGCACATAGAGGATTAGGACATTGCCGCTGAATTCAGGGTCATAAGAAAGCTTACCCGTTCTGTGAGATGGCAAGCTCATTGATACCGCGTTCAACCGTTGCACCTTGGTCAATTTTAGCATGGTTTTTGGAAACACCCGAAGCTTCCACAGAGCTGGCCTTCTTGGAGAGGGAGCCGTTCTGCGACTGTCTATCGACATGGGCACTATACTTGTGTTCGTCTGCCGCATGACGGTCCGAGCCATATCGGCCCCTGTCTCGCCTTCCCCGATCACGGCGATCTCTGGGAGAGCGACTGTGGTTTCTAGGCCGCTTGTCTGGATAGTCATCATGACCGCGGTCCCTGCCATAACCTCGGTCAGAGCCACGGTTGCGGTCACTGCCACCGCGATAGTCTCGATGTCCAGAGTGAGTCGGGCGTTCGTCGTACAGCAATTCGGATCCGCGAGAGGGAGGGCGATCTAAGTCACGGCCATGGCGACGGTCATCTCGGTAGTTGTCCTCATAGCGTACGCGGAACTGGCGTGGTTCCCGTCTATCGCGAGTATGGCGGTCGTCCCGATCATCGCTGGGTCTTTTCCAGCCCCGAGGAGAGTGGCTACGTTGAGCTGCTGTATCATACTCGGGCTCGCGGGACGCTTGTCTTCCTTGATGATGTCTGCCTCTTCGGTCAACATCAATGTTTCGTTCAGCGCGAGGCAGGGAAGTTGCCTCTACAATTTCCCCTTCATCCGAACTGGGAACTGGAGATGCCATTGTACCGACCGCCTTGCTCTGAGTCTTACTGTCTGCCCTGTTTTCCACCAAGACCTTTTTTTCCAGCGCAGCTGGCAACCAATCTGCGCTCTGCTGTGGAGGAGGAGCAAACAAGTGTCAGCCGTGAACTGTCAACGCAATAAACCAAATGTGGAGGGCTGAAGCCGACCAGTCAAGTGTTTCCAACCTCTCAAGCCTTGTGGGTGATGGTGCTGTGGATTCAGGGGATATGAGTGATATGATGCAATAAGACAAGATGATCTGATATCTGCCCTGCGAACTTGGTGTGCTGATGATGATGCTGACCTGACTCGAGTGGAGAAAGGCGAGAGATGAAGTCGCTGCCCACTTGAAAGTCCCCAGGTGCGACGCGGGCGCGCATGCCACGGCATTGGGCCTTAGACTGGGGCATCCGTGCGTCAAAAAGGTGCTAAAACGAATATGCCGGTGTTCTACCGGTTGACCGCCCGGTGATTGTGGACCTCCTATTGTGACTTGATCTCCACTACCAGCGTTCTCAACCGCGGGGCAAATCATCCTAACAAAGTTCACCAGGCTCCTGATTTCTTTGCGCCAGTTCACCAGCATCAACCACACCAACATCTTTTACACTTCTACACAAACAAAAGTCATCATGGGCGGACAAGGCAGAGAAGGCAAGTGTCGCTGTGTTATCATCCCCCTCCAAAGACCTCACTAACCTCTGCGCGCTTACACAGGTGGCAAGGCCAAGCCCCTCAAGGTCAGTCTCTTTCTCGATCGATAGTGCACCGAAAACCAAAGCGCCGACTAGATAATACGCAATGAGCCAAGGACTGACGGACAACGACAGGCCCCCAAGAAGCAAAACAAGGAGCTCGATGATGAGGACAAGGCTTTCCTTGAGAAGCAGCGTGCTGGTACGATACCCCCAATGCAATATGCGCTCCCGCGCAGAGAATGGACAGCAACTAACATGATTGGGCCAACTGCAGCTGAGAAGGCCAAGAAGGAGATGGCCGCCAAGGCTGGCGGTAAGGGACCACTGGTGAGTCGTCCTGTCATCAGCCATCAGGGGAGTCAGATCAGGCCTAACCTTTCTTTGTGTTGTGTAGAACACCGGTGCCCAGGGTATCAAGAAGTCTGGAAAGAAGTAAACGGTGTACCCTCTGTGGGGCTTCGTTGGGAATGGACACTATTAGGGCGTTTTGGGGGTTGTGGGTTGCGGGATTGTTATCAGGTTAAGGGCTCAGCTCGGCAGGTAGCAAAGGTGCTCGGTGATGGCTTTGTGGCGCAATAGAGATTCAGTCAAGTGCTGACTGCTTGCTGCTTGGTATGCATGGCATCTTTCCTGTCTTCGCTAGTGCGCTGTCGGAGATGTCTCTGACCCAAAACTGCCGCTGAACCTCATGAGGTTGGCATGGAGTTGTAACAGCAATATGTTTTAACGTTCCTGTACGCGACATGTACACGAGAGATCACCCCATCCAGAATGATATCTACAGCGAGATCTTTGCTCCGTAAATACTTCACCAAAGTATATACATGATGGGGGATGGGTAACGTACCCGAGCCCCACACCCAAAAGGAATTACATGAAATTATACATGCACCTCGGAACCCTCTCTCTATCCTCTTTTTCTAGAACCTGCGCCTAGTCTTCTTGTGTCCCCATTGAAATTCGTAGCGTGACGTGATGTGAACGTGATTTGGCGTGCTAGAAGCCAAACAGTCCACACAGACTTAACCTTGAAACAAGGTGATTACAGCAAATCTATTCAGAAAAACAACGCCCAAAGACCATGCTTATCTACCCAAATGCAATGATTGTTGTGCTTAATCACCACCCAACCACGGTTTGCTTCTATTCATCATCACTTATCCAAGGAGATTAGCCCCTATAGGTGTTGCCACCATTGCCGCCGCCCGGAGGGCCTGGTGTTCCTCTCCGCGGCCCTCTAAAGTAGTCATATTGTGTCGGGTCTTGACTTGTCGCTGGCTGGCCAAATTCTTGATCGCTCTGCGGAAGGCCGCCATAGCGGGGCCCCCCACCAAAGATGCCAGGCGGAATGGTAGGAACACCAGGTCTGTAAGTCCCAACGTCACCATCATAGCTCCCGTCTCCCGGGCCACCAGCAGCCGGTGTGGTGGGATAACTCGATACCGGCATCAGCGCGGCTCCCTGCACCAGGTTGGCACCACTATCATTGCCAAGGCTGTATAAAGGACTCCTGCTGCGACTGGGCACCTCATGTGCGCCCAGTATGGGGGGTGAGTAGACGGATGGGCCCGCGTAGCCACTGGATGATGGCCCAGCCCCAGGGTCGTTGTACGGTGACAACAGCCTGCGATTGGCGCCGAAGCCCATTCCTCCACTCGGCGTTCCGGGTCGGGAGTCTGGCCCGCTCATCATGGTGCCCGGCGTGCCCGGCCGATGGATGTCTGATCCAAAGAGCTCGCCTGCACCATGGTCTTCTGCGAATTCGTCGCGGTTCTTGTAAAATTCAAAGTCAAGACGTGATTCGGGTACCACTTCGAAACCAGGCATGCTCGGCGACGCCTTGCCAGCCTTGCCGGACATCATGGAATCCATAACGTACGTGTCGCTGTAGCCGCTGACAGATACCGAATCTCCCAGGCCACCCGCTTCCCTACCGTCGCTCAGCCGCCCTTGATAGATGCTCGCAAGAACATTCTGTGCCTTTGCGTGAACCATGGGTGTGATGAGGGGCTTGTAGAGAGCCGGATGGCCAAAACGAGCCGCAAGACGATCGTTCCGCATACTTTGCTCCTTGACATTCAGCCCTTCTTCAGTCCGTCCTTGCTTGGTAAATCTCGTCGCATAAAAGTGGATCTTATCATCGTAGACGCGGCTGCAGACTATCTTGAAAACGATCAACAAGATGGGCAGCGGTGCCAGAGCATATACTTGGGTCCGATCGACTTGGATGCCACGGACCCAAACGACCAAGAAGGTGACCAGGTTGGCAAGAAAGGTCCCGAACAGGAAACGGTTGAACAGCACGCGCCAGAACATGCCTCCGCTTTCCGTCTTCGTAACGAAAATGTAGAGCAACAAGTACTTCTTGAAAGCCACATCGATACAGAAGAACAGTGCTGCCGCAGGGAGGACAAGAGGCTGAATGGGGGCATAGCAGAGGGCGACGGTGGCGTAGAAAAGGAAGTAGTTGTAGTAGCTGGCGTAATCAAAGGGCGGTGGTGCTGTGAGCTCGATCAGTTCCCGAGGCGTTGGGTTAGAGAACTTTCGCACAACGAAGCTGTAGAAGAGAGTCCACAGTTGCGCAAGATCAATCGCCGCACCGAGCTGTCTCTGCAGGAGCCATGAGACCCAGAAAGGAGACACTTTGATGAGTGAGAGGAACAGGAGAAATCCGAAATCGGCTTCGTAGATGGCCTTCCAAGCATCCTGACCGTTGTTGGTCCTCTGAACAACCGTAGCAGTAAATCCCCAGATGGCACTGAAAACGGAGAAGATGAAGAGGTTGTTGAAAGTGAAGAAGGCGTACAGTTTCGCGACGACATGGCGCTCTCTTCCCGTTTTAGTCTTATCGCCTGCTCTGATGGACATGCGGCGGAAAGCAATCGGAAGTAGCAGGTAAACAAGTGACATGATTGCCGGAGATGCGATACCCTGAACAATGGACCAGAATTGGGGGCTGCTGGCCAGTTCGTCCCGGAACTCTTTCCATACCAAGCCCAAGTTACTCAGATTGACCAGGAAGACGGCGATGAAAGCATTGGGAACAATCCACAGAATAGTGAGAACCGCCATCCAGAAATTGTTCCACAGGCGCCTCCTACGGCGAGCTGATGGACTCAGTGGCATGTTCTCCCAGATGATGTCGTTTGGCCGAGGAGCCAGCTTGATGATCGCACCTTGAGGCTTCTTCTTCCGACACAGGTAGGCGATGGAGTGTGTCTCGGAGATATCTGAGTATGACGCAAAACCATACGGCATGGTCACTCTCTTATCCACCCTTTGCCGAACATCTTTGATCTCGAGCTCCAGCAGCTTGATGCGCTCGGTAAGATAGTCAATGGCGTCGACTTTGTGGCCCTTGGGATAGCTTGCGTATGAGTGGTCCTTCTTGGAAGGTCGACAGAGAGGTCTTGCTGGTGGCAGGTTTTTGGGGTCCTTCAGATAGACTGCCAGGACCTTTTCGAGCTTCCTGACTGTCTTGCCATGCGACTCAATGAGACTTGGGAGAATCCTGACATCACGAGCGATGGCAGTTCTTGAGAAGGAAGAGCTTGGGACCACACTATCGATGATTCGAGCGATACCCTCGTCTGAGCCTAGGTTCTTTGGAATATCGTACACCTAGAAACGCACAGTGTCAGCCAAGCACTCCTGACTTTGTCACATGGTATAACCACGATGGAGTGCAAAGGGGGTGTTCCATACCATCAGCGTACGGCTGTGCAAACTGTGTTGATACTCCTCGCTCTCGTAGTACTTTCGCCTCAACTGGACAACCTTTCTATAGTTCCACCAGAGAAAGACACAAACAACAATGTCAAAGATCCAGGCCACGCTGACACTCGCCCACTGAGCCGACCCCCACACCAAGTTAGGTGTAATCTTGGAGAGCCAGTTGTCTTCGATGCCCACGCGAGTCGTTGCAGTCCAGTTGACAGGAATCAAGATAGCGCAGCCGAGAACTGTGAGAATGGCAAATATGTTGCGGCACATCCTTGTAAATCGCATAAAGATGGTGGCGTCCATCCCAATCAAGTTGACCATATCCTCCTCGGTTGTCTTCCACAACGGGGTAACCCAAGCAAAGAAGCCCTTCCCCATCGGCGGCGGGGCATGTTTTTCGTCGGCATGTTTGAGCTTCGGCGCATATACAACACTATTGAACGGTCGGAGAATCGAAAAGAGGAAGGCGATCACGGCTGTGGTTCCGATGGAAGAGCCCAGCGCAGCAATGATGGCAGTTTTTTGCAACTAGCGGTTTGTTCGTCAGCGGTCTTGTGTTGTCAAATCGACATGACGGGATAACGGTACCTGTGTTGAAAAGGGATCAGCCAGCAAATCCAGGAGGATCTGCCCAGGATCCTTTTCCGCCATGGTGGCTCTGGGCTGAAAGTGAAGCAACGCCCTCGAAGGGCAAGATGAGTAAAGGAGGTCCCCAGATTCCGAAAATCAGGGTCCAAAGCGGATGGATGGATGGACAGAAATCGAGCGGCAGCTACAGTCTAATCAATCTGGCCCGGCTGTATACCCAACCCGTGCCCATTCGTTGTTGCAACCAACCCACGCGGGCTGCCCCTTTATCGTTCTTTATCGTCACGTTTCAAATGTTGTCGTGCCGTCGTGAACAACGGCAGCTTTGGTTCGCCCAAAGCCGGACGATGTCGTCGTGCAAGATGTCGCCGAGCGTCCCTCGAATACCTATGGCTTCTGGGTTGTGTGGGCGTGTTGTCGAAGCTGGATGGAATTCGGGGAGAAGCAGCGAAAAACGACGTGGGTGACGTATAGGACGGGCGCCAAGGCGCGAATGCGTTGGGCTTGGAGGATCCCAGAGACAAGCGATCTAGATCGGCATACTTTTTGGACTATGTATTCCAGTATTCTGGAAGTTTTGGAAACTTCCACGAGGTTGAGGGGGCGCCCGAGGTGCAGCACGCAAATCAGGACAAAGAATAGGCGCGCAAAATCACAGGAAAAAGGAGTGTCAGGAGGAATCGAAATCAAAGCGAGTGGTATTTTCGAGACCCCCCCCAGGTAGCGAGTGAATATGGAATGGCGTCTGTTGGGTGGAAAAAACACCGACTGGAGTTTGGAGTTCTTGGTGTTCGCCAGAGCTGGGGAAGGAGGCCCAGACACCGGCGCTATCCCGCCCAAGGCCGTGCACAAGTCAGGGTCCCAGGCCCGGAACGGTTCCTCCAATTTTTTTTGCTGCGTCACCGCCTGACAACCTGTCTAGAAGGATTTAGGGACTGCAGTACGATTGGCCACCCCTAAGAACTCCAGATGACCAAGCTTTCCGGAGTGTGGTGTCGAGGCAAAGACGCAGCAAAAAGTATACAGCTTGGCCCAATGACCGGTTTTGCATCCACGGCATCTTTCCAAGATCCGTGTTCTATTTTGGCACTGCCTCTCGATTGGGATGCATCACTGGATCTGGGCGCCCCACCTGGACCCTGTGGGCGTGACATCCCTCAAAGAATACGAGCTTCATCCACGGCCCAAAACCTGGGTACCTATCCCCATTGCTAACCTCCTCGCCAACTGTTCTCTGTTGTGGCAGTCGATCACTCATGAGGCCGCCTGAGGGGCCACTTGCTGTTTGAAACAGTGTTTGCGTGTTCCCATTCCTGCTGCAGGCCGTTGCATGAACTCCAAGCTTCCATTTAGCGTTGGTGGCAGGATATCCCCGGGCCCGGCTCTTCTTCCCGACCCCGTCCCTTGCCGACTGACTGGCGATCATTTTACCCTTTGATCGACAAGATCCAGCAACAGCTTCTAAACTCCGCGTGCAAAATATTTATCGCGAGAATGAAAATGGTGGCGTATATAAGTAAACATTGCCAGCAAGTCCAGTGGAAGGGAGAAGCTGCGGGCTGGGTAAGGGAACTATGCATGACATTTGAATATGGGACGAAGCTGAATCCGACAATCGGGCGAGTGTCGTCATGCTACTGGCCCCGACCAACGTTGACGACCCGGAAGGCATCAATCGGGGGTGTTCGGCAGGCCCGGTTGGCCGGCCATGACCTTTCAACCAGCCAACGTGCTCACCGGAAGTCAGCCTCTTCAAGCCACCCACCACATTTCCCTCAAAACACCCTCCATCTTCCTGGATACGGAAATATTCTCTTTTGAACTCACGGAGATAACAGTCTATGCTCAATTCTGTCAGTCGTGTCCGAGGGAGATTTGCCGCAACGATAAGAACATCCAGCTTTGGTTCATATAACCGCGTTAGACAGGTGATGACAATGTGGATTCATCATGTCTTTTGTTGGCCTCCTCCATCTTTTCCATTTGCAAACCAGATGTCCCGGTTGAAAAACGGACAAATATATTTCACGCTTCCAAAGGATAGAGACGCCCCTGATCATCCCCTGAAGCATTCAGCTCTTTGGAAGTCTTTGCGAGAGGCCATGGTGTTTTAGATGGCACCTGAAATATACCAGATAGCTGTTGGAAGACTTATGAGTAGCTCTAACAAGGTGATCTCCTGACAACTGCTGCTTATTTACATCAGAATTCTGGAGAAATCACATTCCCAAATCAAATCCAAAACGATCCCAAAGAAAAGGTCGAGTGTCGAGCATAGATGTTAGTTGTTCTCAGCCTTAGCTTTCCCTCTCAACCGAGACTTATACCGGACCTTGGCTTCTTGTCTTCCTCGCTGTACGTCCAACTGATGTGAGAATTTTGCGTTCTTTCTGCTGTTTCTTGGGCCGGCCGGGGCCGCGTTTTTTTGTTGGTATCTCGCTCTTATTCACGGCGTTGGTGATGCTGATCTCGGGTTGAGCCTGCGTTTCGCCGAGGTCACCGTTGCTATCCCCGAAAGCCTCCTCTGCCTTTCTCTTTCCGCCCCCAAGCGGCGGTATAGATGCTGCTGTTTTAGTCGCTGCTGTACTGTCCGGGGCCACAGGAGCTTCACCCATCTCAGCATCGTCGTCCCTGGTGTTGCCATTAGCACTAACAGCTGGCGCATGAGCGGCTTTGTCATTTTTGGCATCTTCTGCCACCTTGTCAGTATTAACCTCCGTAGACTCAGCTGAAACGTCCGAGGTAGCTGCCTCCGTGCTTTTCTGGGGTGTATCCGTCGTCTCAACGTCTTTGGTGGTGCCGTTTGTCACCGTCTTGACTAATGCGGCTGGCAACGTGACGGATTCGGGGGGTGTAGCTTTGGTCTGGCCGCTAGGCTCGGTTTTGGCGCTGTCCAAGTTCTCTTCTGATGTCGACGGCTCTGCGAGGCTCTCTGAAGTTGGAGCCGAAGCTGGAGCCGGAGCCGGAGCCGGAGCCGGAGCCGGAGTTAGGGTAGCTGAAGACGGTGCGGCGATACGTGACTCCACAGGACCGCCTGATGCAACTGGGGCGACCTGACCAGTTTTGTCATTGTCGCCGGTTGCTTTATTGTCAACATCGCCATTCGCCACTGCATTGATGTCGGCCAGTTTTGAAGTTTCGCCGACATCAGTCGACCAAGCCGGCGGTGCAGAGGTTAGCTCTTGATGGGTGACTACCGATAAGCGGAGACTTGATGTTAGCAGTGGACAGTAGCATACGCGTATCGAAGCCCTCGCTGTCACGTGTCACCACCTTAATCGTTCTTCAACTGCGTAACTGCGTGCCGACATCCATTGGGATCTCATCCGTCATTTGGACGCGCAAAGCTGAGCCCATTGACGAGTGATGATGGCTATTCCGCGTGGGGGAGGCTGTCTCGTACCTTTCTCCGCTTCCCCAGACATTGCGAACGAAGGCCGAAGTGCGATTGTAACAAGCAGCAATGACGTAACGTCGGAGGACTTGGCGCTAGATAGGGAAAATAGGAATTGAAGCACGGCAATTGTCAACAGGCCAAATTGGGCGCGAGGCAGAATGATAGCTGCTGTACTGTAACTCGATGACAGGTTGACAATTTGAAGTTGATGCAGAAGCACGCAGGAGGGCAGATCGCAGAGGTTGAGACGGCAGCAGCATGCCATTGTCTTTTTGTCTCGAGATGCTCCCGTTGCACAGACAAATCAGGATTGGTTGGATCTCATCATGGATCTGCGGCTCTTGAAAACATGACGGGATCAGGAATGACATGCCACACTAGTGTGCATCCATTCTACACATCATGCCATGAGCTAGTCTTCACCTTGGTTGAATACCGCCTCTCGCCATCTCTCACCTCATCATTCACTTAACCTCACCGTGGGTGCTCACGTCCCAGTTCCATCTTCACCGGGGTTTGTATTTATGCTTCAGTGTGGAGGAAGCTATCCAGCCACCGCACTTGGCGGGGTTGGCGGGGCTCGAACGGGTATGCCAGGGTGCAGGTGTCAGGCTAGAATTCTCTACACCCTTCTACTTATAAACGTTCCTGAACCAAAAACCTCATGGCGGCCTATCATTTGCTTCCTCATGCCCACGATGGGGCCAATGGATATGCATTCGGTGAGACAAGAGTGACAAGGCCCCAAAGACTCAGGCTGCCCACGCTGTTGCAGAGTCTGTCGTCCGGGAGGCTGCTAGCGCACCCCACGATGATCGGCAAGCACCCTCACTGGACACTAGGTCGTGCAGCCAAAGCTCGCTGTCATTTTTTTTCGTGGTCTGCTGCCACCTCAACGAGGAAAGGGACGAAAAAAGAAACCTAGAATCATGCATGAGAGCATGCCGCACAGCTATTATAAGGCTTCAACGGCCAATCGGGCCAATGACATGTTGCTGTTCCCACCACCGTCCACATATCCCGTCAAAGCTGCATTTGTTTCTGCTTGAGGGCCACTTTGATTGAGTCGGCTGTGGCCAATGCTTGCCGGTTAGCCGTCTGTGCCGTCTCCCCAAGAGGGAAGGCATTTAACAACACCAATACTTCTGAGATTCGTCTAAGTGTCTTGTCGATTCGAAGGGAAAACTCTCTGCAAATTGCAAAAGCGAGCTTCTGTTGGTCCCTGCCGAGAATAACCGGAGATCCGTCCCCTGTCCAGAGGCACTCTGCAAGGCTGTTTATCGCTGGCTTCGCTGTTCTCACGACGTCGCAGCATCTGAGGGATTGCGTGACGCTAGCGGGGCAGCAGAGTCTGAATCTGGTCTGAATCTTCCATCATCGCCCCCACCATGGAGCAGCAGACGGAGAACACCAGCCACTCACACCACCCGCCCAGCTCGGGCCAAGACATGTTTGGTTATCACACTCCCGACCACGTGCCATAGCGCGCATCTGAAGCTGTTTCTCTGAACAAGAGCGCGTTAGTAGAGGCGGGCGGAAATGCAAGCAGCGGTTGCACGGCGGGGTCCGGGGCGCAGTCGCCGGAAGCCATCGCTGCGGTGCGGTCTAGGAATGGAGCCTCGAGGCATCACCGCATCCGACCACCTGAGGAGGTTTGAGGTTCTAGAATGGCAGCAACATCGCAAGGTGCCAAGGCTGAGGCCAAGAGCTCTTGGCGAAGAGGAAAAGCGGGCATCCCAGCCCTTTGCCAATCCCGCGTCTGGCTGGCCCTATCAGAGCCCGGCTTGGAGTGTGTTAGTCTTTGTCGAGAACCAGGGGATGACGCTCATCTGTCTTCAGTCGCCACCCGATTGCAGTCTTATCACTCCTACCGAACGCCGCCGTCACCCACAGCGGGGCTCTCGAGGACGTATGCCACGCCCAACTGCTTGGCTCGCCCAGCATCTCGCAGCATTGAGCGGGTTTGAAGAGTCAATCCAAGGTCCGAGGCAGCTGTGAGAGCCGGGATGGAGTTCTTGGGGCTTCTTGGCCTGCTACCCGCCAAGTCCACTGTTGCTTTGGCCGCCGACTTATCGGTGAGCAGCATGCAAAAAGATGCTGGGCCCTGGCCGGTACCTCGACGGAGCACCCAGTTTCTGTGCGGTTACTTAAACAAAGCAGGTACCCCGTCATTCCCCCGTGATCCGGGACTCGCTTCTTGCGTCACTGTCCAGAGGAGGAAAAAAACAAGCTTCTCTCCCCCATCGTCCAAGCTTTGTGCGTCGTTGGCTCCACGGCGTCAAACTCCATCATCAGAGTCCGGATTGTCTATAACGGCCGTCCCTTTGCCCATCCTGCTGATCCTCCCTACGCAAATGAGACAGACTGCTCAACACTCGAGGTCGTGCTCACCCCGTCAGGTCAACTGGTGAACGTATCGCCCTCCTCCCCTCCCCCAACCGCCAACATGGCCGGCGAATTCCCCAAACACCCGTTCCTCCTCACCCCGGAGGAGACGGCGCAGGCTCTGGGGACCGATATCGACAAGGGCCTCACCTCGGCCCAGGTCAAAGAACTCCAATCCAAGTATCCTACCAATGAACTCGATGTAGGCGGCAGTATCGCCTGGTACACCATCTTTATCCGCCAGCTTGCCAATGCCATGATTCTGGTATGACCCCTCCCCCTGAAGCTTCCCAAACAAGCTTTCGCACTGCGGGTGCCATTGACTTAAGTGGCGCATCGACTGACAACTGTGCTAGGTCCTCTTCTTTGCCATGGCCCTGAGTTTTGGCGTAGGAGATTATATCGAAGGCGGTGTCCTTGCTGCCGTCATTGTGTTGAATGTGTCCATTGGTTTTTATCAAGAATATGGCGCCGAGAAGAAGATGGATGCGCTCCGTGCGCTTTCTTCCCCCTCTGCCAACGTGCTCCGCGACGGTAAGATGCAGGTCATACCAAAGTAAGTTATGCCCTTTCAAATGCCGCTCTCCTCTGTTCAAGCTGGTCTGGTGCTGACCAGTTTGCTCCGCCAAATAGTGCCGAGGTCGTTCCTGGTGACATCATTGCCCTCAAAATGGGCGATACCGTTCCAGCCGACATGCGCATGTTTGAAGCCATGAACCTCCAGTGCGACGAATCATCCTTGACAGGTGAGGCCATGCCCATCGAAAAGATCACCACCACCGAGATCTATGTCGAGGGCGGTGAGAAGCTGGCACAGGACGAAGGTGAAGTCGGTATCGGTGACCGCATCAACATTGCCTATGCTACCACTGTTGTCCAGAAGGGCCGTGGCCGTGGTATCGTCATTTGCACTGGCATGCAGACCGAAGTTGGAAAGATTGCCGCCTCGACCAGCAAGAAGAGACGCAAGCCCGGCAGGTCCATGAACTGGAAAAAGTACGGAAAGGCTGCCCCGGTCAAGGGTGCCTTCAGACGCACCTATGACTTCCTCGGCAAGTTCCTCGGCTTGACCGAGGGTACTCCTCTCCAGATCAAGCTGGCGAAGCTGGCGTACCTGTTGTTCTTCTGTGCCATCGTCCTGGCCATGATCGTCTTCAGTGTCAACAAGTGGCCCAACCCGCTTCCCAGCGAGCTCGTCATTTATGCCATTTCCACCGGCATCGCCATCATTCCCGAGTCTCTCGTCGCTGTCTTGACTATTTCTATGGTTGTGGCCACCACTGTCATGAGAAAGGCCAACGTCGTTGTGCGTGACTTGTCAGCTCTTGAAGCCCTCGGAGGTGTGACCAACATTTGCTCCGACAAGACGGGCACTCTTACCCAAGGCGCCATGATCGCGAAGAAGGTGTGGACACCTGCCTCCAACAGCATCTACACTGTCAGAGACTCGAAGAGTCCCGCCGACCCCACTCAGGGACGTGTCACAGTCTCCAGCGCCGACGTTCCCGCCCAAGAGGAAGAGGAGAAGCGCGATTATGACGAAGAGAGAACGACCGCAGCCATCAAGTTTGATGGTGTCCCCGACGAGAAGCTCAACCCCAAGCCACAATCATCCCCCGAGGCCGAGGCTGAACTCACCCCCGACCTCCGCATGTTCCTCCTCTCGGCAGCGCTTTGCAACCTTGCCACAGTGCGGTTCGACGACAAGGAGGAAAAATGGAAGACGACCGGCGAGCCCACCGAAATTGCCCTGCAGGTCTTCGCTCACCGGTTCGACCTCGGCAAGAAGAACGTGGAGGCGACCGGATGGAAGCAGACGGCTGAGTTTCCCTTTGACAGCTCCATCAAGCGCATGTCCGTCATTTACGATGCGCCCGAGAACAACGAAAGCGGATTGAGCACCGAAAACAGCCATATCTTCACCAAGGGCGCCGTGGAGCGTATCATCGACCTATGCTCCCACGTCGGGACGACCGATGTACCCATGACCGAAGAGTACAAGGAAAAGATCCTCAAGCAGATGACCGACTTTGCATCCCAGGGCCAGCGCGTTCTCGCCATTGCCTATCGTGCCTGGAATGGCCGCTACGTCGCTGGCAAGAACGACGGCGTTGACCCCTCTCTCCCCAAGAACGATGAAGCCCAACGGTCCGCGGTGGAAAAGGACCTCATTCTCCTCGGCTTGGCTGGTATCTACGATCCTCCCCGCCGCGAGACCACTCCCGCCATCTTCGACTGTGCCCAGGCCGGCATCAAGGTGCACATGTTGACTGGCGATCACCCCGAAACGGCCAGGGCTATTGCTAGGGAAGTCGGTATCATCCCCCGCGACCTCAGTGTCCTCCCCGCCGGTGTTGCCCAGTCCGCTGTGATGAAGGCTACCGACTTTGACAAGCTCACCGACGAGGAGATCGACGCCTTGCCAGAACTTCCTCTTGTTATTGCTCGTTGTGCGCCCGAGACCAAATCTCGCATGGTGGAGGCCCTTCGCCGCCGTGATGCCTTCATGGCCATGACTGGTGACGGTGTCAACGATGCCCCATCCTTGAGCCGCGCTGATGTCGGTATCGCCATGGGATCCGGTTCCGACGTGGCCAAGTCTGCCTCCAAGATTGTCTTGACGGATGATAAGTTCAACTCGATCGTTGCCGCCATCCGCGAAGGTCGCCGCATGTTTGCCAACATTCAGAAGTTCGTCCTCCATCTTCTCAGCAGCAACGTTGGTGAAGTCATTCTCCTGATTTGCGGTCTCGCCTTCTTTGACGAGTCCGGCATTTCCGTCTTCCCCATCGCTCCCCTCGAAATTCTCTGGATCAACATGGTCACTTCGTCCTTCCCCGCTTTCGGTCTCGGTCGTGAGGCTGCCAGTGCCGAAGTCATGCGCAAGCCCCCTCACGACAAGAGGCGTGGTGTGTTCACCAACCAGATTATTGTTGACATGATCGTCTACGGTATTCTTATGGGCGCCACCACACTCTCGACCTTCATCATTGTCGTGTTTGGAAAGTACGATGGCCAGCTGGGCAGGGACTGCAACAAGCACTACTCGGAGGGGTGCATTCCCGTGTTCCGCGCCCGCGCTGCTGTTTTCGCCGAACTGACCTGGATGATTCTCCTCACCGCCTGGGAGATCAAGGACCTTCGCCGGTCCATGTTCCGGCTGAACCCCGATTCCGAGTCCAAGTTTCCCTTCTTCAAGGACGTGTACAACAACAAGTTCCTCTTCTGGGCCGTCGTCATTGGCGCTGTCTCTGTGTTCCCCACGGTGTACATCCCCGGCCTCAACAGGAACGTCTTCAAGCACACCGATATCAGCTGGGAGTGGGGTGTCGTTTTCGGCATGACCATCTTCTATGTCTTTGGTATCGAGGTCTGGAAATGGGTCAAGCGGACGCTTAACATTCTGGATGACCACAAGGTCAGACAGGGCAAGTGGTCGCAGGGCGAGGAGGGTCAGAAGATGCGGTTCGCAAAGTCGATGTCCTTCTCCAGCTTGAAGAGTTGGGCCTCCAGATCCAAGGCTCAGTCCAACGGCGGCTTGACTCCAAGCACCACGCAGCCGCGTTCGACTTCACAAGCACCCCAGAACCGGGTGCCACAGATCTCGCCGGTTTGAGGGAGAGACGACTGAATTAAAGTAACGGTTGATATGTGGCGTATGGGACGATGCGCTGCTGGCCACGCGGCCGGGTCATGTTGCTTTTGCGTATATCTGAGTTGACGATGTTGATGAACGATGATACCACGCATATTTTGAAGCATGTTGACGAAGAAGATGCGAAGGGATCGAGATAAACAAAGGCTCGGTTAACCCCCTCCTATTATCGAAGGAAGACTGTTTTGGGGGGGGGGGGGGGGGGGCGTGCGCTATCATGAGTAAAAGGCATCTTGATGCCGTGGTTGTTTTGTTGCATTGTATTTTGTTTTATGATATCCAGCATTTGATCGAACTGTTTGGTTGGCGATGGTCTGGGCAAATAGGTACTGCCCTCAGGATCAGTAGAACATAGCGTAATGTTTGGCTGTTAGCATTTGGCACAATGGAAATTGAAAGTCTTTACATGGAATTTTGTTCATGGGAAAGTGTTGAACTTGAGAGGGATTTTAAAACAGGTTCGTGTGACGAGCTTCCATCGAGATAAGATTGTAGGCAAGTACGTAAACCCCGGGGAGAGTCCAGACCGCGGTCAACCCCTGAGGAAAGGCTCCCATGCCACTCTGGGGAGGTGTGGGTCCACAAGCTCAGGGCGCGCTAGTGTGTAATTGGGGGAACGCCGCGTCGCCAATTAAGGACACGCGCAACCATCCCGTCCCGCCCAACGTCCAATTGACAACGAGACACAATCTTCTGCCTTTTCTTGAATCATCACTTCGAATCGACCACCAACTACTTTCCCTTCCTTAGTCGAGCAGTTACCAATTTCAAAATGGCGCCTGCGAAATCATCTACCGGCGGCAAGGACATGTACTCGGTCATCCTGCCTACCTTTAACGAGCGCCAGAACTTGCCCATCATCACCTGGCTCCTGAACCGCACATTTACCGAACAGTTCGTTCTCCCTCGCCATGATCAAGTCTCAATCGCCGTTGGACTAACATGTGTAAATCATCATACAGGAACCTCGACTGGGAACTTGTCATTGTGGACGACGGCTCCCCAGACGGAACCCAAGAGGTCGCCGCCCAGCTCATCAAGGCCTACTCCCCTCACATCCAGCTTCGCCCTCGCACCGGCAAGCTCGGCCTCGGCACCGCCTACGTCCATGGCCTCAAGTACGCCAAAGGCAACTACATCGTCATCATGGACGCCGACTTTAGCCACCACCCCAAGTTCATTCCCCAGATGATTGAGAAGATGAAGGAGGGCGACTACGACATCGTGACGGGCACCCGCTATGCCGGTGACGGCGGTGTGTACGGCTGGGACTTGAAGAGGAAGCTGACGAGCAAGGGCGCCAACATCTTTGCGGATACCGTTCTTCGGCCTGGAGTGAGCGACTTGACGGGCAGCTTCAGGCTGTACAAGCGGGCCGTGCTGGAGAAGCTGTTTGAGAGCACGGATGCGAGAGGGTTCACGATGCAGATGGCGCTTGCTGTGACGGCCAAGGCGAAGGGGTATTCTATCGGAGAGGTCCCGATTTCTTTTGTGGACAGAGTGTACGGTGACAGCAAGCTGGGCGGCGAGGAGATTGTAGAGTATGCCAAGGGGGTGTTGCAGCTTTGGTGGTCCATCTAAGGGGCTTGAGGGAGGGAAGAAGCTGGAACTCGTGGAAGGGATGAGGTTTGGGATATTAATTCTAATGCTGATATTTACACTGTTTGGAAAGCGAAAATGAAATGGCAGAGATGATGAATGTCAGGAGTTATACGCAAAAGATTTTCCGATTTTCCTGACACGGCAGCACTTATCTACATGTTCCTACCACCCGTTACGCTGATTGTTTGTCCGGAAATATACGAGCTCAGGGGGGAAGCGATGGCCAACACAGCACTCGCAGCCTCGGTCGCAGTGCCGGGTCTCCTGAGTGGGATGTCCTGGTATGGAACGATGCCTGGAGGAGCTTGCTTCTGCTTCTCCGGGATACCCAAGGCAACCTTCTGCCCATCAACCTCAACAAACGCACCGGCCTCCTTATTGGCCGTCAGTCTCGTCTCGATATGCCCAAAGGCAATCGTGTTCGCCCTCACGCCGAACGCAGGGCCCCATTCCTTTGCGATGGTCTTGGTCATGCCGATGACACCTGCCTTGGCGAGCGCATAGTTGATCTGACCGGCGTTCCCGTGGACACCAGAGGTGGAACTGATGTTGATGATGTTTCTTGGCTCGCCGTCCTTCACACGGAAGTAAGGGGCTGCCTCGCGGATGATTTTGAAGGGGACGGTACCGTGTAGGGCTACGATGGTGTCCCATTGTTTGTCGGTCATCTGTCCACGCCGTCAGTATTGTCCACTTGGGGGGAAGAAGGAGAGAGGTACCTTGTGAAGAACCGCATCCCAGGTAAAACCAGCATTATTCACAATGATGTGGATCTTTCCACCTCCAAACTCGGCTGCTTTAGCCACCAATTGTTTGATGTACTCGTCCTTGAGCAGGTCTCCTGCCACAGCGATGGCCTGGCCGCCACCGGACCGGATCTTGGAGGCTACCTCTTCGGCTTTGGCGCCGTCAATGTCAGAGACGACGACTTTGGCGCCCTCGTTGGCGAAGAGACGTGCACACTCGGCCCCGATACCCTGCCCTGAACCGGTGATGATGGCGACTTGGTTGTGGAGGAGACCTTTGGGGTAGTTGAGCTGGCGGGAGAGCTGGGCGGCGCGCTCAGCCATGCGCATCTTGATCACGGAGGTCATGATGGCAGAAGTTGATGATGCAAGTGTCAATGGGTCAACGAGAGCCAGAGATGAAATGGTTGGATTTGTGATATGTAGAAGATGGACACTGAATCGCTATATTTCTCTTGATATATATAGGAATACATGTTAACCCGAAACTGGGGGGGGGGAAGTGACAGCCATCTCCGCACGGGAACAAGCCCGGGCAAGAGGATGCCGAGGCATTTCCCCAGATTCGAGAAACTTGGGGGCTGCAGTTACCCCATACCCCGCGCATCACCACCTCATCTTTGGGTTAGGTTAGTTGGGGTGTTTTGGTTGCGTTCAGGGGCAAGTCGCTGGGCTGGAGGCGTGTCAAGAGATCCGGGTCAACCTCATTTACTGATCTACCTAGAATCAATCCAACCTGAGAGCCAGCCGTAACAGACAAATCGTAACTTAATGGCTCCCACGGCTCTTGATGTTTTCATGGTCAGGGGAAGATGGATTAGATGAGAACTGCGCTAACCCCGCATTCCAGCCCTGCGGAACTTACAACTGGGCACCCTCCCCACAGAATAATTGGCACAGCAGGTAAGTTAACCCAATATTATACTGTGAACCATGCCTCAAAAGTAAATTAATAGGTCTTTAAACTATCTCTGAAGACCTCTGAACTATCTTTTAAGGCCTGTTAATTATCTTAAAAGGCCTACAAACTATCTTTAAAGGTGTATTAACTATCTTTAAAGGCCTAACGATTATCTTTCGAGGCATGGTTTATATGATATAATATGGATTTAACCCACTTTCGATTGCCAATTATTATGTGGTGAGGGACCTGGCGCAGGGATCGAGGGCAGCCAAACAATCCACAACTCAGCCCAAATCCCACCGTTGACATCGACGCCGTTTGAACCTTGATGGTTTGGCATTCAACGCATGCAGAGAAGACGCCTCTCAAACGCCACCCGATAGAAGGCACACACGGAGTAGTAAGATGCAGAGAAAAGGTGTCAGAGCCTTCTCGGGCCACAGCTACGGCCACACAGGTCACCATCATGGCGGCGGCGGCAACCACTACTCCCGTCTCAAACCAGTCGAGCTCGACCCCCTCTCAGAATACGGCCTCCCCTCTAAAGGCGAAAAGAGACTACTCTCTCCCAAAGTCCAAGAGTCCTACTACTCCAAAATAGCAGAACGCTACCTCGCCTTCTGCACCGAAGCCGGCGACAAAGACAACCTCCAAAAACAATTCGCCCGCCTCGCCGTCGCGGACACCACCCCCTCTTCCTCCGCCAGCTCCCCAGTCATCTCCGTTCCCCCATCCCCCTTAACCTCCGCCCCTCCCACCGCATTACCGCTCCCAACCCCCACCTCCCTGCCCACCGGCAGCTTCCCCGACATCACCTTCATCGCCACCGACAACAGCAAAGAACAAGACCAATCCGGCTCCCTCCCCTCCATCCTCTCCGCCCTCCGCAAGCTCCGCGAGGCCCTCGTCGCCACCCAGCGCCGAGACCCCTTCACAATCCAAGTCTATCTCTTCGCCATCCGCCTCGGCATCCTCGCCAAGTCCTTCGAGTCGTACTACCCGGCTCTGCTCTACCTCCTCCGCTCTGTCCACCCCTTCTCCAACCTCACCTCTGTCGAGCTGGCCGAGTGCGTGTCCTATCTCGTTCTCGACACCGCCTGCAGAAGGCAAGACCTCGCCGGGGCGTTTAAGCTGCGGAAGGAGTACAAGTTGAAGGACAAAAAGGTGGACGCGGTGCTCAAGGCGCTGGTGGGGGACAACTATGTGCTTTGGAGGAGGGTCAAGAGGGGGGTGGATGGGTACCGGGTGAAGCTGATGGAGTTTGCCGACGGGGATGTCAAGAGGCGGACGTTGATGGCGATGGGGAGGGCGTATTTGAGCTTGCCGAGGGAGTTTTTGGAGGGCCAGATGGAGGAGAGCTGGGAGGGGCTGAGGAGCAAGTATGGGGTTGGGTGGGAGCTCGGCGGGGAGAAGGGGGAGAAGGTGGTTATACGGAAGGTTGGGAGGGGATGAGGGATAGGGGGTTATATATGGGAAGAATGGCATAAGATATCGGTGTTGGGATAGGATATGGTTTCAACATGTTTGGCTGGGACGAGGAACGACCATTGGTATACTATACTACTCATGATGTGGCACGGCATGGCGAGCGTCAAGGGATAGAAAATGGTGGCTTTGGCAGTGAAGTACAGATTAGGGATATGGGATTATGACATGATTAATGATAATACCGCGCCTGGCTTAAAGGTCATCGTTTTTCTTGATTGACTTCCAATCGAGGGAGTTTACAGAATCGTTTGGCAGCATCTTCCAACTATTAGAGAACGACACTGACATGCTTGGTTGGAATATATACATTTCAAGCCACGAGCGGTCTCAAAAGTAACGCGGGCCATCGTTAGCCCCATGCTATACGGAGAAAAAAGCCAGTACAAAACGTCCATGGCCCCGGCTCTCCACCATATTGTTACACTGCGCATGCGGCTACAACAAGCCAAGAAAGTAAATTATCAAATTGGGTATTTTCAACTTCCGCAAAACATCAAGCAACGCCGTCCCTCACGCCCCGAGCTTCATTTACTGTCCACCCAGCTCCCCCTTATCACAGCGATGCCCTAGGCCAAGCTCAAACGTCCTCCCACTCGTTCAGATTTAGAGGAGAGCAAAGGCAGCAGCAAGACCACCAATGGCACCCAAGCCGGCGGCGACGGTGGGACGGGGGCCGAAGTTGGTGCTGGTGCTGGTGCTGGTGCTAGAGGCATCCTGAGCATCAGCGTCGGTCTCGGTCTCGGTGGCGGACGACTCCTCAGGGGCATCAGTCTCGGTGGTGCTGGGAGCATCGGTGGCCTCGGTGGTAGCGGTACCGGCGGGGGTGGTCACGGCGGTGTCAGTGTTGGCAGCGGTAGTGGCACGAGTCGAGGTCCTAACGGGAGTGGTGGCCGAGGGGCTGACAGTAGCGCAGGTCACAGCGGTGGGGAGATCATTGACACCGAAGGCCTTGCAGAGCTGTTGTGTCGAATGTTAGCCATCTGAACACGGATATGGATATTGCGCAAAGCAAGAACATACCGTCGCAGCAACGGAAACAGCGGTCTTCTGGTCCGCCTCATTGCAGACGTCGACGAGGCAGCAGGCGATGCTGTCGAGGAAGGTGCTGTTCTTGCAGATGCACTCGGGGTCGCTACCACAGTTGCCAATCCCACCACGGAGGTACTGGGTGGCACAATCACGCTGTCAAGAAACTTTTAGTCAGTTTACCATGTCTCTCCTGGAGAGCTTTTGGGGCGTCGAACATACAGCGCATTCGGGAAGATCAGCCAAGCCCTGGGCGGCGACGCTGGTGGCGAGAGCCAAGGAGACCAGAGCAGCAGAGTACTTCATGGTGACGATAGGGTTAATGGATGAGGTATTAGAAGATGTAGGGTATCACGAAGAGATGATTGCTGGTATATGGTAAACGAGAGACAGAAACTGCGAGATGCAAGATGCGAGATAGAAGACCAGAACCGAGCACGCAGGAGAGAACTCGTGGTTGTTTAAATAATATAATACCCACTGGATTTGGTCGCATATTCACCCGGGATTGGGGATCTTGGCCGCCTTCTTGGGAAGGGGAAGAGGCCAATGGGCTGCCTTCTCCGAGACAAGGGTGGCCAAATCTCCAGCGAATCCCCAGCAGCGACTCCTGCAATTTCACGGCCAGCTTGTGCCCGCAAGCAGCCATCATTGACCAACCGAACACCAGACACCGGGTTTTGTTCATGAGAGATATATTTACTGAGGAATTTTTTTTTAATCTTTTTTTGCCTCGCCATGTCTCTTCTTTGTGACTACATGGTGAACATGAGAGCTGCAGGCAACGTGTAACATATGACCGTCAACCTGGATGGGATGCGAACATCCCTACATCGAAGTGGGTATCTTCCATGCAGTTCGCATGGCGCTTCTTCGATGCGGTTACTTCCGCGCCCCTGTCCAAGACTCCCGTCCCGTCGACTTGCACTTACACCACAGCCTCCACATGTTGTGGTGCCAAATGCGAGAAGCCCGTTTGTAAGACCACAGCCCAGCTACGTACAGCTAACAGCCAACGTACCTTAGCTACCAGCGTTTGTATAAGTTGGGACCGTTGGTTATTGAAACTCAAGTCATTTCTATACTGGTATATGCGGCCTTGTCAGGTGGAGTTAGCGCCCCTAGACGACAAGCTGCTGGAAACAGACCGCAACGATCTGCGTGAAGATCGGAATAGGGGATCCCTAGCATAGATTGTCAGCTGTCACTTTGAGGCCTCTTCCTGTCACAACGTCAACAAAAGCGTCCGAACTTTCCCCGTCTGACAACAGAGACTGGTCATACCTCTATTGACAGTCTACCTTCACGCTAGAGTCGCCAGGGGAAAGGATAGGGTCTCCGCAAAAAGCCAACGACTGGCAAACAGAGAACTTTGCTGCCAGGCGAAATCCATCTCAGCAACGATTTTCTCGCGCCACAGACCGCTCTTCTGACCCCGCCAATCTGACCTTGAACCAGTCCCAGTTGTCCCACAGGCACAGAGACAGGTGTGGTGAGGGAGTGAAACTGCGCTTTCTCGGTGCCATTGAATCAACTCGTGGATGATCGTCGGGCTCTCGTCCAACCCCGCGCCCGAGATGTCGATTTGGAGATTGGTGGCTCCCCGTCGCCGGGACTCTTGTGACACCTCAGAGCACTCATTGGTCCGACGGGAGACACTGGGCTGAAAGCACAGAGAGCTCAGATCCCTGTCGGTGCTGATGCTTGGCAACAAAAAGACAAGACCCAGAAACGGAACGGGCGACCGTTCGCTGTGCAAAGTGCTGAGCCGCCGCCGTGCTGCAAACATCCGATTTGTGAGCCGTGACTGGATGCATCGACTTGATTGCGCCGCAAGCACAAGTCTTTCTTTGCCTACATCTACAACGACGACTCCCAAAGGCTCCACCGACTGGACTTTTTCCTCCATCCAACCTACTTCTTGTGCTGAACGATGCTCTTCGCCTGACCCACCATATTATTCAGAACACCCGACACGACGGTGACGACAAGATGGGGCTGGGAGTGCTGGAAGATCGGGTGATGGAACATGTGCCTGGTACGGATACTTGACACAACTGAATCTCCATGACACCACTGGAGCCGTCGTGGCTGACAATTGTTCTTCCTCTGCTTTCAGGCACAACCAGATACTTTGACGACCCGGAACGACCGCAATTCTCTAGCGAGGGAGTCGAGGGCCTCAAGTGCGATACCAGCGGACAGATGCCCATCATTCTCGTCCCTCAGCCATCAGATGACCCTAACGACCCCTTGAACTGGCCGTTATGGAAGCGCGATCTCATCACCTTTATTCTCTCCGTGACGGCCATCTTTGCGACGTGTCTTGGTCCAATTCTTGCCGCCAACACGCTGACCCTGACCGAAGATTTCTCGGTCAAATTCTCCAAGGTCGCCGAACTTACAGGATGGTATCTCTTCGGAGTCGGAATCGCCGCCTTCTTCTTCGTCCCCTCGGGTCGTCTGTGGGGAAAGCGTCATTTGTTTGTGGGCGGAACCATCCTGCTGATCATCACCTCGGCTTGGGGAGGCGCATCGCGACACAACTATGCGAGCATGGCTGCTGCGAGAGTGTTTCAGGGTGTGGCCACAGCGCCGTTCGAGTCGCTTGTCAATGTTGCGGTGGGAGATCTGTACTGTGTGCATCAACGCGGCATTCGTATGGCCTTCACAAATCTGGCCGTCTTTGGTGGTGCCTTTTTCACCCCCATCCTGGTGGGCAAGATCACCCATGAGATTGGATGGCAGTGGACCTTTTACTTTGTCGCCATCTTCTGCGGCTTGTGCTTGCCGGCCGTATACTTCTTTTGCCCCGAAACCGCCTATCGGCGAGACCAGTCTCTCAACACTGATATGCTGTCGTCCGATGGCCCAGGCGCCCAACAGTTCTTCGCGAACACTTTGAACGCCCCTAAGGAGCCTGAGAAAACGACGAAGAGAGACGCTCCGTCCACTCCTGATACATTGGTTGGTGATGACGCCAACCAGACTCAGGTAGGACTTAGCGAGATCCCCATCTCTTCGGCACCTGCAGCTCCAGCCACTTCATCGACAGCCGCACCCGTCCCAACAGCTCGAGCGTCAGTGGTTCCTCCGCCCAAGGCGACATTCAAAGACTCTCTTGCCATGTTCAACGGCCGCAAAGCCGACGAGAATTTCGTGAAGCTGATGTTGCGGCCAATCGTTCTGTTTTTCCATCCGGCCTTTTTCTGGGCATGCTTGATTCAGGGGTTGATGATTGGCTGGACAGTCTTCATTGGTGTCATTCTTGCTCAGTTCTTCATCGGCCCTCCTCTCTGGTGGGGCGAGGTTGAGACAGGATATGCATACACAGCGGCGTTTGTTGGCGCTATTGTCGGCTTCCTCATCGCTGGTCTCTTGTCCGACTGGAGTGCCCGTTTGATGACTAAGTGGAACAAGGGCATCTATGAGCCAGAATTCCGTCTGTTTCTCATCATTCCCATGATGATTTTTGGGTGCATTGGGCTGTACGGCTGGGGGCCTACCGCGGATGATCTTCTCTGGGACATTCCCCCTGCCATTCCGCTCATGTTCTTCGGTTTCCAGGTTGCTGGTATGGTTATTGGCGCAGTGGCCAGCTCGCTTTACATTGTGGATGCTTATCGTAAGTTTTGACGCCCTGTCTACTTGCGGTAATTCTGATTAACTTCTTCTATAGGCGACCTGGCTATCGAAGGCTTCACCATCATGATCGTCTTCAAGAACTTGCTCAGTTTTGGCCTCACCCTCAAGGCCTTCCAGTGGCTTGTCCTCAATCAGACCAAGGCTACTCCGTTGTTCAACATTATTGGTTCTGTGCAACTGGTTGTCTGCCTGTCCAGCATTCCGTTGTGTAAGTCTCAACTGGTGTCCTTTTTGTCTCTGTTGCTCGTGCTAATACCTATCCCCCCATCTGCAGACGTATTTGGTAAGCGCATGCGCAGCTTTTACCATCGCCACGACTGGTTGGCTTTCTGCAAGGTCAGGTAAACCATAACTTTTTCCACGTAATGAAACGGACTATGAAGATTGGTTACTTTTTACCACCAATGAGTCCCATACATGATGTATTTAATCCAGCTTTTTATGACATGAAGCGGCTGCCGAAGAATGATGGAGGTACTTTGGTCACGTATATACTTAATTAATCTTAATCATGGATTTTCTGTCCCATTCTTATCTGTGTCCTGGTTCGTGTTTCAACGCCAGCGCCTCTTGCCACGCTGCATACACCAAATTGAATGTCGTCTCGATGGAGTGGCATAATCCCACATTGTGACATTTGTCTGTTCCGGTTCAAGTCTGGTGATCACACGTTCCGAGACAGCAGTTGTGCAGTACACCGAGAAGAAAAGATCAAATCAAATCTTTGCCAAAAGATCGCTCTCGCTTTGTGCAATTGGAACACACCTCAAAATGATTCCAGAGCCCTAGATCTTGGCCTTCTCCTTCCTCCCGCTCTTCAGATGCTTGCTAATCGTACCAGCGAGCAAAAAGTCAGGGTACTGCATGTCGTCGTCCACGCCCACCGCCGCGGCGCCTTGCCTCCTCCACCCCGCGCCGTCCACCACGAGGGTTGTCCCGTTGATATAGTTGCCCGCATCGCTAAAGACATACACAGTCGCATCGGCGATGTCTCTCACCGACCCCCATCTACCAATCGGCACGCCCTTCGTCCTCGTCTTCGGGTCCAGCTTGGAAGAGGCCAGCCTTTCCATCCCTTCTGTTCCCTCAATCGCACCGGGGGCGATGCTGTTGGCAGTCACGCCAAACGGGCCGTACTCGAGCGCGACCGAGCCCATGAGGGCGTCGATGGCGGCCTTGGCAGCAGAGACGTGGGATTGGAGGGGCATTCCGGTGTAGTGGAACGTGGCGGAAGTAGAGACGAAGCGGCCGCCGGTGGTGCCGGCATCATTCGGATTGGGATTGCGAGCGGCAGACTCTACGAGGTAGGGCATCGTGGCCTTGATGGTGTTAAAGGTGCCAATCGTGTCGATGTCGATGACGGCTTTGAAGGCGTTGGGGGAGAGCCCGGCGATGGGGGCGATGAAGTTGCCTGCCGCGCCGGCGACGACATAGTCGATGCTGCCGAGCTCCTTTACGCAGCGGTCGGCGGCGGCTTTGAGGGAGTCGTACTACGGTCGTGTCAGTGAAATGACTGATGGCGGTGAAAGTGTGGGTGAGAGCTTACACTCCGGACATCAACGTTGCCGATCCCGATGACTCGGGCGCCGTTCCGGACTTTGGCAATCTCCTTGGCGGCGTTTTCTGTCTTCTCAACGCTGCGGCCGATGATGCAGGCGTCGGCTCCGAGATGAACCATGGCGCGGGTCTGCGCGCTGCCGATGGAGCCTGCACCACCCGTGATGAATAGTACGCGGTTGGCTGTTAGACACTTGTGAGCTTGCATTTCTGATGTTGGGGAGGCGGATAAACTTACCAAAGATGCCATCCTTCCAGACAGTGCTCAGGTACTCTGATCGGGGGACAGACATTATATAGAACGAAGTTTAAAGGAGGTTGTTTTAAGATGTCAAAGATCTTAGCAATATCAGACTCAGAGCAGAGAGATGAAATGGTGTCCAATGGGTATAAAGTGCTTGCAAAGCTTCAAGCGCTGTATTGCTTCAAAGTCACAAGGAATATTGGATATTTGAGAGCTGCAAGAGCTTCGAGCTCTCGTTTCTCTGCTTCATGTTATCCGGGGTCCATTGCGACGCTTCGTCTTACCTTTCTGGGTCGAACCTCGGCATCCTCCACTTTATTTGTGATCTTGGCTGGAGGAGCCCCACATGGCAGGGACAAGGGATCGGTGCTTGAAATCCGGGGAACTGGGTCAGCCTCAAGACTGCCCATCAGCTGAAGATATCAAGACCTCGACATCTGGCGATGAGACAATGAGCAGGTCCTCAACCAACAGTTGTGGATGCATAGAAAGACAGGAAAAATTCTAAAGTTCTGCAAAAGTCACAGGACAACAGCGGCAATCCAGTCCATCAGTTCTTTATAGTGCAGGGCCTTGAGCTTCAACATTAGAGATGCGTAGAACCCCCAACAAGACAAGAACAACAACCCGGCGATACAGTTGAGCCAGGAGTGGAAATGTAGAAATATATCTGTTGACGGGCAGGGTCAGGAGTCGCCGTCATTCAAACAGAGATTACAGGAATGGCGGCGTATCGTAACATGAAATTACACATGCATCTAAACCGTAGAGTACTCTGGCGGGGCGGAAAGGTTGCCAAAGCGGTGCACGCGCCCAGATCGTGTTGCATAGTCTGGTTAGCAGCCACAGCACGCGTCCGTTTGAACGTTAACCCCTCCCTCAATTTACGCGAGTTGGGGAAGGCTTCAGTTGGCAGGTTCCTTACCACGCCTTAACACATCTCTCCAACCACACTCCCACCAATGGCAGACCAAAACAATGGGCAGAGAGCCGAAGGGAAATTTTGCAGAATCATCGCTCGATGTCAGGAGTAGCTAACTCGACTTTGCATCAATCAATCGAACCGTATTTCCCACCAGCCTTTGCCTGGCTTCCTCTTCCGTCCCATTGCAGATTGCACGCGCTCTCTACAAAGGAGACCACGACTGGCGACAGCTTTGTCAAAGACGAAGCCTTTCCATAACCACTCATTGTAACGCAGGAAGTCGAGACAAGTCATCAACGCCGGTTTCGGTCAAGCCGCTAGCGACAACAACATGGCGCGTCTGCCTTTCGAGCGCAGGGAATCGCAACCAAAACCTGTGTTGCCTATTGCCTCCGGGTCCGAGGACGACGACGATGACGACGCTCTCTCTCTATTCCGACACTCGAAGCAGGTTTTCCCCAAAGTTATTCGCGAAGCAGAAGAAGAAAGCCGCGATAGAAGCAACGAAAGGAAGCGCAAAAGCTCGCTGTCGGAAGAAGAGGGGAATGAAAGAGTTCGGAGGAGGTAGGTTACAAAGGTGCTCAACTCTTGATCCGCGGTGCTGATCATTTTCATAGGAGAACCTCTTCCCCGGGGCTGTCCTCAAGTCCGCCCAAGCAAATGGCAGGCCTGGCTGATTCGGATGACGATGACGACGACCTCATCATGGACGTCAGAGGCAAAGGGAAAGAAGTTGTGAGGCCGACCAAGATAGTCACTCCCGTCAAGCCGCGCCACGCAGCGGTGTCAGCAACTCCTGTTGTAATGATTGAAGACAGCGATAGTGATGACGCCCTGGACAAGAAGCCGGTCAAAGCTGACCTGGACAGCGACGATGATTCCGATATCCAGGAATTCAGTCCCTTCGAGAAACAAGAGTCGCCCGACAGCCACGACGACGAGCTGCAAGAAATGATACGCAAGCAGCGAGAGAAGCTCGGAAGGGTCAAGGAAGATCTCGTGGTGCATATCTATGTCGATTCTCCCATTCCGAACATGAAGCCGATTCTAGTCCGGCGAAAGGCAAAGCAAGACATGGCACCCATCATACCCACCTGGATCGCAAAACAACGGGAAATAGGCCTGGACATTTCCAGCGAAGAACTCAGCCTTTTTGTGACCTGGAAGAACAACAAGATCTACACTCCGAACAGCGTTGCTTCGCTCAATCTCGACATAGATGAGGATGGCAATATCGTCTTTGGTGACGGGGAGGGCTACCGTATGTTGAGACAGGGTCCAGCGCTCCATATGCAAGTTTGGGATGAGGATAATTACAAGGACTTCCAGCAGTGGAAGGACAAAGAAAGATCAGTCAGATACGGTCTCGTTGATTTGACCGAGGCAGATGATGCGGAGCCTGTTCCCGAGGAGCCAAAGAAGAAGGGGATCAAAGTGGTCCTCAAGGCCAAGGATCTCGAACCGCTTAAACTGTCCGTGCAAGAGGATACCACGGTGGGGACCATGATTGAGGCGTTCCGTCAGAAACGAGCAGTTGGTGACGCGTGGCAGGTTTCGATATGGCTTGAGGGAGATGAGCTGGAGGAGGATGCTTTAGTGAAGGATACTGACATTGATCCCGATGAGCCGAACCAGTTTGAGGTTCATATGAAGAAGTAGAGGTGTACTGATAAATAACTTGGAAGCTTGCAGCACGTCATCCGACAATAGTCTGCTAGCGGGCAAATAGATACCCGTATTTCTCTTTAAATATGACATTTCACATGAATTCTCTCTCGATTGCTTTTCCGCGAAGCTGACACTATCATCAAAAACCATAGCTTTGTCGCCTTGCAACCGTACCAACTCCTAAACGCCTGTCCCAAGTGCCCGTTTCCCCGTATCCGCCGACCCTAAACAACAGTTCTAAAATCTCTCCTTCATTCTCCCAGCAATAATTCTCAGACTGTTGAAGGCCTTGCCCGGTTGTTGACCAAGCACCAATGAAACGATGCTAAAGCGAGCTGTTAGTCCGGCACGTTCTCGACTTGGCAGTTGGGAAAACAAAACGGGGGCCGCATACCTTTCGCGAGCCATGCCAATATTCTCAAACGCACCGAGAATATGCACCCTTGACCCAGCAAGCACCACGCGTGTCTTTGTGGCATTCTCAATCGCAAACTTCATCTTCCCGTCCTTGCCTGCAATACGACCGATAGCACGTCCGAGCGCGTCAGGCCCAAGCGTTTGCTTCACATCCTTGATATCGAATGACTGAATGTAGAGCGAATCGAGGCGGAGCAGGGCAATCGCATCGTCAATATCGAACCCCATGGCGAACGCCGAGATGAAGTCAGCGCCCATCTGGAGAGCCTCGTTGCTGACGGTGGCCCTGTTGGATCGGAGCTCTACGCGCTTGTCCTTGATGTTCATGCGCACCTGGAGCTTGCAGTGGTCCACGAGCGGGGGATAAATCTGGACTGTGTATTAGCATCTCCCAGCCCCTCCCGTTGTAAATCTGGGGGTGTGTGTGACGCACCTTTGTCCAATTGCTCTTGAGAGCAGACATGCGATTTGGTGGAATAGGGATCTTTCTTGTCTCTACACGACGGACAGGATCCTGAAAAAGGAGGACAAGCAGTCAGTTGACTATCCTTCGGTGCTTCGGCCAACGAGCGCTTGTTCGTCGCAACATACCACATCTTTCCCTGGCGCAAACCTCGGTCGTCCCTCCTCGTCGACCACCATCTCACTCTCCTCGCCATTTGGTGGGGGCGCGGCAGCAGCTGGGTCTGTCAGGCCGGTGGCATCTTGAATGTCGAGAATGAGCTCCTCCTCCTGCTCGGTCTGGATGGGAATGGCGGTGTTTTCGGAGGCCGCAGTCGACTGGAGGAGCGCTGTGGGCGCAGGCATTTTGACGTTGATTCTGGTATGTGACTGTGGTCGCAAAAGACTGTGAGTGTGACGGCAACAAGGCTCGAGAAAAAACTTATCGTCGGTCGTTATCGCTGATGGATGGCTGTCGAGTTTGCAGAGGCCTGTCCGCCTTTTTTTTGAATGGTGGGGTTGAATTCTGTAGACTTTCGTGGACCCACCATTGGTATCTGGGGCTTATCGATTGGTTTTGGTCGATGCCAAGCAAGCGGCACACCCAGCAGCGATCCTTGTCCCACAGGCTGGGGCGCCGAGCTTAGCGTCATTCACTGACAAGGCTTTCAAGCGCGGCCGCGTTCCAAGGTTCCCGCTGCATTTCTTCACTTTTTGACTTCAACTCCAGAAAAAAAGTGGCCGGCGCTCCGGCACAATTGCAACTCCTCCTCGCCCTTTCCCCCCTTGTTTAAAGAGTCGACAAGGCCCTCTTTGGCCATGACTTGAGCTCTGCTGGCCCCGTCGAGCTCCTGCTGCCCCCCCCCCGCCTGTGTCTCAGCATGCCTTTCAACAATGACATCTAGCGCCGCAACGACCCAACTGGGCCGTCATCTTTGGGGCTCGATCCGAGATTCCGTCACCATTTTCGCAGCGAGGCTACCACAACGCCCGCCGAAGCCAACCCGCACGCCGTTTGGCCAACTCTGCCAGCCCTTCCACCCCGCAAATCCGAGTCACACTTCGCCATTGATCCACCCAGCGAAGAGCTTCTCGAGGGCTTATTCTTCAAGAGCAGCCCGACCTCCCCCCAGAAAGAGCTGCACCTCCGGGTGTTTGCTCCTCCTGGGATTATCACCAAGTCCATCTTCAACAAACGCAGTGGTGACGACGTGCGCTCGCAACACAAGCCAAAAGGCCCAGCTGAGCTATTTGGCGCGGCAGATATGGAAACAGAGTCGCCAACCCCGCAATGACCGGGGCGAAGTGAGCATCATCGGGAGGAGGGGCAAGAGCTCCAGCACCAACCGAGACGGCGATAGGAACAATGTCACTGGTCAACCAACACCAAGGACTGAGGTTGAGAAACCACAAAATGGCCCTCCAAAAACACCCGAATCTGAGCTCAGTGAAGCCGAAAGTATCGCGGATTCCATGTCCAAATATTTGCACCTTCCAAAGATGCCGCATAGACCGACGAAAGAGGAGCTTCTTGCAGCGACGAATGGGTTTCTTCAACGACTAAGAGTGCGGTTCAAATGGTTTTCCATCAGGAGTATGCGGCCATGGAATGCAGATGAATGGGGAGCTTTTGTGTCTTGGTTCTTGTTCGGGCATCTTGTCTGGATCTTGGTTGGGACTACTACCTTCTTCTCCCTTATCATTCTGTTTATCAATACCGTCTTTGCTCAGGGTAGGCTCTTTCCGTATATTTCTGCTTTGCAAGACACGATACTGATAGGCATGTTCAGAAACGCTCGCGAAATGGATTGGCGACTACCTTACTCAGTCTGCAGGACTTACGGTTGTTTTCGAGTCGGCTATTGTCCCGAGATGGAAGGATGGCGTCATCACCTTCCGGAATGTGTTCGTTTCTCGGAGGCCAGGCCAGCACGGCAAGTCGACTGTCAAGAAGGGTTCCTCCAATGCTGCAGCTGAGGCGGCAGCCGCAAGACAAACGGCACTGGAGGAAGAGGCAGATGATGGCAACTATACGCAATTCGACGTGACCATTGATACCGTCAACGTCACCTTATCGTTTCTAAAATGGTGGAACGGGAAAGGGCTGCTCAGGGATGTAGAGGTCAAGGGTGTTCGAGGTGTAATCGACAGGACCTCGGTTGTCTGGGGCGATGAGGAAGTTGACCCTCTGACTTTCAGACACGAACATAACCCCGGCGACTTCGAGCTTGATTATTTCAAAATGGAAGATCTTCTCGTTACGGTACATCAGCCCGGCGGATTCCGGCCCTTTTCCGTTTCGATATTCTCGTGCGAGCTCCCTCAGCTTCGAAAACAGTGGCTCTTTTACGACTTCCTCTCCGCCTCGCACATGTCGGGTGCATTTGACGGTTCCCTGTTCACTATCCACCCTCGACAGATACACGGTGTTTCAGCCGCCGCCGCAGAGGACCGGAGGCAGGACGTGTTTGGCGCATCATCTGCGTGGAAGAAATTCTCTCGTTTACGCATTGACGGTCTCAAGATCGATCACCTGAACCGCGGAGTGGAAGGTCCGTTTGGGTGGATTTATGAAGGAAATGTCGACATCGTAGCCGATGTCATGTTTCCAGCTGATCCCGCAGAAGGGATTGGCAAAGTTGTGGCCGAGTTCTATGACAAAATGGAAGAAGCCGTCACGAGTAACCGGTACCTACAGATATTGGACACCAATGGCACCCGTCGCCGAGAACGAGAACAAAACATCATCAACAACTCAAGGCCTTACTCGGTACGTCATGACGAGAATCTGCTGTCTGGAGAGAACCCATCCGCTCCCCTTCCGGCATCCTCTCACCACCACCCGCCCCCCTCACAAGAAGAGGTTCCCGGGTATCTGGTCATGGACTTGCGCATCCATCTTAACAATGTGCGCGCCGCCGTTCCTCTCTTCAATAATCCGCACATTAGCTATGTCAACCAAGCTCTAGTGCGCCCGATTGTTGCCTACATCAACGCCAAGCGCACATATATTCCCGTAAACTGCCGCATCGTGAAGCGCGTAACCGACTTCGATGGTTCCTGGACGGTCTGGGACTGTGGTCTGATGGATGACACGAGCGCAGAGGTCTACTCTGCGTTTGCGTACAATGTCGAGGACCAGCAGAGCCGAGTTCGCCGGTTCAAACGGGTTGGACTGTGGACTGTCAGTCTTGTTGTTCATGCTCTGCTTGCTGGCGTGGCGGGCGATTACATGTAGCCTATGAACGATACCTATTTAACGATTAATATCTTCTCTTTTTCTCTGCCCGATGGTGATTCCACCCAGGCATGAGATGTGTATCACTAAAACAAAAGGGGGTTGGATTCCGGCGGGATGGTACGGACTTTTAAATACACTGGCTGGTGGGACTGCATCATTACGTTTCAGGGCATATTGGCGGGTGGGTTTGGGATAACTGGAGGAGGGTTTTGGCTGTTTTTCTTCTATAGCGATCAGACTCACTCGGGGCGCTGTGGTTTACTCTTTTGGGGACTTGGTTTTCACGTCCGTCATCATGTCACGATGCGAAATGACTGGTGGAGTCGAGGGGAAACAGTTGCTAACCCTCGAGCTGTATCAAATACATGACAGAGGGAGCGGAATAAATAAGGTTCAGCAGCATTGTAGTGTGCCCCGTCTTATCACTGGCATCAACGATAGGTTTGAATACATTTAGTAAGGATACTCTGGAGAAGAAAAGGGGCAACATGCACGTGTGTCGGCCCTAGGACAACTCGAGGGTATCGTGAAAAACCTATCAACAAACATGAGCTCTGTTAATAAAAGCCAAATTGTCTACGATGATGCGGTAAATTCAACCACGAAGCCTGCCATACCACCTCTTGCTTCACAGATTTTGAGCTATCTTTATATTTCCCCATTGCTCCGCTGATCTATGGTCGTTCTGGCTGTCTGGATAACCACCCAAACGCCTCCGATACCGCCGCTCTCTCGTACTGAACTAGCCGCTGGCTGAATGACAAATTCCCTCCCGAGCTACACTCCCAGGCCCATTCCAAATTTTGTTGTACTGTACATGCCAAGCTCTCCCCGGCCTTGACGCGGTGGATAGGGGTCGGCAGCATCTCCCATCATGTTCTGGCCCGGCTTCTCCAGTGCGCAGGTTTTCCATCTGCCAGGTAACCCCATTTGAGCTTCTTGTGTCCCAAAGCCCAATCTCTCGCCTGGCATTGAATGTCAAAGTCTGTGACGATGGCGGAATTGAAGCGGCAGGCTGCTGAATCATTCGGGGGAGCTTTCACATAAAGTCATCACTGGAGAGTAATTGTGTTAGCCAGCGTCTGTGCATTACCACGGCAAAAAATGTTGAGGACTTACTCTCCAAAGGCCTCATCATCATCGTAGGTAGCGGTATCTTGAGCAACACCACCGCCACGGGACACACCCGCCAGAGAGGTCTTGGTCTTGGCAGCCTTGGTCTTCTTGCCGCCCTTCTCGGCCGCCTTCTCCTCCTTCAGCTTCTCGTTGCTGAGGGCTGTCAGGGCGCTGGCGACCTTCTTGATCTCGTCAGACTTGCAGTCCTTGATGATCTGCTTGAAGTACTCCTGGGCAAAGTTGACGAAGTGGGCCTTCTTGGCGTTGGAGGCGAGGAGAGGGGCTGTCGCGTTGCGGAGGGTCTCGAACTGGCCCTTGGTGAGTGGGTTGAAGATTGGCAGGGTCGAGAGATCGATGGTGTTGTTGGGGTCGCTTCCGGGGAGCTGGACAACGCTGGCGGAGGCGTTGGCCTTGCGGCCGCTGCTGATGCCGATGGCGCCAAAGAGATCCTGGGCGTGGGCAAGATCGGCTTCCTTCTCGGTGCGACGGAGACGCTCACGCTTCTGGGCCTCGGTTTCGCCGTCGCTCTCGGATTCCTCCGCGAGCTGGCGGGCGCGCTCGGCCTGGCGCTCGGCGATGCGCTGGGCCTTGCTCTTCTTGTTGGCAGCGGCTTCGGCTTCGGCCTTGGCCTTGGCTTCGGCAGCCTTCTTTGCCTTCTCGCGCTCTACCTCGGAGTCCTCGGCGGCGTCCCAGGAGTCCAGGACATCGCTGTCCTCGGCCTCCTCATCGTCGAACTTGCGGCGGCCGACGGGGGCAGCGGTGGTTGGGGCCTCGGTGCCGGAGCTAGACTCCTCCTCTTCATCGTCTATAAAACAATAAGCAGGGTCAGCTTGCGGCTACTATGAGGATATGGGTTGCGAAATCATGGCTGCGGACAGTGTCGTCTGTCGCGATGCGAATTGAACAAATCTGAACCCTTGCTCGATCCTTGCCGCGGGGTCGTGTATCACCATGGAGGGGTAACTCAGACGTGGCTTTTCGCGCATCGATCGCGGGGTGATTTTGCGGGAAAAAAATGCTTGCTCACTTACCCCACCGCTTGTTTGGTCCAGGCATGTTGATGGTGTTGTTGTTTGCTGTACTGCAAAAGAGCGATGTCTGGTAAAATCTAGCGTGAGGGAAGGATTTCTAAGAAGTGGAACGGTTTATGTGCTTCTTCTGGACGACCTGCGCAAAAGGTTGTTGCGGTGGATCAGGTTTCCAGCAGCAAGGTTGGGCAGCAGAAAAGGGGGGAAAAAAAGATGGTGTTGCCGTTCGTGGTGGAGGGCTACCAATTTAGGTTCCAGGTTGTGCGCACTCCAGCGATGCCCCCCAAGTTTCACAGCGTCCAGGTTTGCTCCCAAACAGCGGCCCCCCACTATTTGATATTTACCTTCTAAGGTCCATATGGATACAGCGGCTTCAAGCTTCCATCAACATCCATCCACTCGCATCCGGCTGCCACCTCTTTGAACGGCACTGGGACCTAATGTCTCACAATGGCTCCCACTTAGCATTGTCCCTGCTCATCTGGGTGAATGTCCTGCAAATTGCCAGACCATGACAGGTATCCTTGCAAACAGCCTCACCTGGTTCAGTCGGGACGAGTCATGGCTTGGCAAGAGAATCGGTTGACTAAGTCGATTCCATTCACGGGTCATCGCGGAAGTTCAGTGTTGAAGTCCAAAGAGCATATGACAGCACGTGGGAGCAGGGGGAAGCCGGGCGGCAGGTTTGGGTTTGCTGCATGGCTTTCAATCATATCGTCTTTCGGTTATCAAAGTTGACGTCACGGTGTAGAATGACTTCTTCCATGGGCCAGATATCACGATCTCCAATGGTTCCAAACAACCGCATGATGCTCAGTAACTAGATTATTCTGCGGCTTCTAAGGTGCTGAGTCACCGGGTCGGCTACTTCTATTTCTTCTGAGATAGCAATCTCACGCCGGAGGAGAAACAATGACAGGGCAAAGCTGACCCGAGAGATCCCGACCACGCCGAAAAATACCTGCGTCCAGCTGACTGGCCAGCACAGCCTTACGAGCTCTCCCAACATATTTTCGTGGTCAAAGATGGGCAACTCCTTGTCCTGTCGGGCCTGGTGTTTGTCGTCCAGTTGGATCTTGTTCCGCTGCCGTCTCAGGAAATGCCACCCCCGAGGCTGGCGGTACTGTTTCCACGGAGAATTACCGCTTCTGTTGAGAGAAGGGCACAGGAGGATGGGAGTCACCGGACGAACCCGGAGTGTGTTGAAGCTCGTATCGGTATCCCATGTGAGATTCCTACGATTTGTTTGAGTAATACTCGGGGTTGGTATTCTTTGTCGAGGTTTCTGGGGGCCATATAAACCAGTAGAATAGCCACTTCAAGGATGAAGGCGTCTCCTAATCAGCCTTCTTCAATGAACACAGATTCCCTTGGAAACCTTGATATATTCCTACCCACACCACAATGATATCTTCCAAAACTAGCAACCGCATATGCCTCTGCTCCCCACAGCAAACGGCACGGATCACTGGGATTGTCGTCTCCTCTCGCCCAGCTTATCTGACGGGGCTTGGTTATCCGGTTTCCCTTCGACTCAGCTCAGCTGTATCTCAGTCCTCCTCCCAACACACCCGCAGCTTTTCATCAACAAGGGCTGCTCATCTGAAGGATTTCTTCCCGGTGAAGGAGACGGCCTATATACGGAAGACACCGCCAGCATGGCCTCACCATGGTTATACCGAAGAGGAAATGTTGGCAGTGGTGCCTCAGCACCGAAAACCCGGATCACTCAGTGATTGGCTTGCGTGGAAGCTGGTCCGTCTGTGTCGGTAAGTCAAAGTTATATACTTGGAATATCCGAAGTCTTTGTTCGGAGGAGCATGCCCTAAATCATATATCCAGATGGGGAACAGACATCGCCACCGGCATAAAGCCCGAACAGCAAGTCGACAAGTCAAACCCAACCACTGCTGTGGCGGCACAGAAGCCGCTGACAGAAGCTCAATGGGTAAGTAACCACACCTATGGCAAAACCCATCCTCCCGGCTCCAGAAGATATCCTAACCAGGCCAGCTTGTTCGGTTCATTTTTCTCGAATCCATTGCCGGCGTCCCTGGAATGGTGGCAGGTATGCTACGGCACCTTGAGAGCCTCAGACGCCTCAAACGGGACAATGGCTGGATCGAAACCTTGCTCGAGGAGTCATACAATGAAAGAATGCATCTTCTCACCTTTATGAAGATGTGCGAGCCAGGCTGGTTCATGAAGACGATGATTCTCGGGGCGCAGGGTGTCTTCTTCAACGCCATGTTCCTGAGCTACTTGATCTCGCCACGAATTACACACCGTTTCGTTGGCTACCTCGAGGAGGAAGCGGTCCACACCTATACTCGATGTATCCGGGAGATTGAACAAGGCGATCTTCCCAAGTGGTCTGATCCGAACTTCCAGATTCCCGATCTTGCTGTCACGTACTGGAAGATGCCCGAGGGAAAACGGACCATGAGGGATCTGATCCTTTACATTCGTGCCGATGAGGCAGTTCACCGCGGTGTGAACCACACCTTGAGCAACCTCAACCACAAGGAGGATCCCAATCCTTTCGTCAGCGACTACAAGTGCGATGCTGACCATCAACGACCCAACCCGGCGCTCAAGCCGACTGGGTTTGAGCGGAGCGAGGTCATTGGTTGAAAAATTATGGTTTAAAATAACCAGGGCGAGGACGTCTGTTCGACAGGAAACTGCATCAATTCTACGTATTTGGTCATATTTGGGCTCTATTATAGGCATCTTGGTGGGCATGGTAGAGGTTTGGCGGCGTTATCATGGCTTAGACAGGATACCAGCACCTCCTCTCATTACAAGGCTTTTGGCGCATTCGGGTAAACAAAATAAAAGTAACCAGACGAGGTATAGATACTGCATAATGCACTGCTTTCTGTATCTAGTGATCTGTGCGGGTAGGGGAGCTCCTTCGACGTATCAGTACGTGTAGCGCCGAACACCTCAGCCACCATTGGCAGACATTACACATTTGATTCACACACTCAGAAAGTAGGGACTGCGACATGAAATCAAGGGCTTACAGGATAGTTGACATACTTCAAATACCACATAATAGGCCTTTAGAATTTGCCGAGAAGCCTTTGAGGATAGTCGAGAGGCTTTTAAGGATAGTCGAGAGGCCTTTCAACATGGCCTTTAAGACCTTAGGGTTTGGTCACAATCTCTCGGAAGATGCCAAAGCATAGCCTCCTTCACCAAGAGTCTGCCAGATCAGCGCAGGTTGCAGGTGTTGAGCTGAGGCGACAAGTTGCAGGTAATAATCTAACTCATTTGGGTCTCGAGTTTCAGGGCCTGCCTATTACCACCCGTGCCTCGCATAGATCGTTTGTGATTAATGCATCATTCGATCCTGATCAGTGCCCGATTAAAGCGTAACAAACACAGGTGGTTATGGTATTGACAGGGCTGAATGTGCATGAAAAGCAAGCGACAAATAGCACATTCTGGCCATGATATCAGTCATGTGCCTCCATTTCTTTTGGACCCAAGTTCAGAAGAAGAGCTGATGTTACCGCCGCCGCTACTGAGTTGGGCTTATGGTATTATCCATGATAGGGCTGAGGACCATTGCCGGGACCAACAGGCTCCAAATCCGATGGGCTGTGAATGGATAGATGGGCGAATAGCTTATCTTGTCAAGTGCCGCTGTGCCTCACATGGAATAATCCGATGGAACAAATGGAACTTGTCAAGACTCGAATCACATTTCGCCGCCATGACGCTTGGCTGTTGCTTCGTCGGGACGAACTGCGAGGACGAGCAAGTGGGAAGAGATCCCAGGCTGTTAATTCGTAGGAAAGCGAAGGGGACCATCCACTGACACAAGTCACATCACTACTGCGCGGTTCTTATCAATGGGGCACGGTGTCCACACTGTCTTTACCCCTCTACAAGACAACAATTTGGGGATGCCATAACGGGGGAGGTACAGTGCGATGTCAACATTCAAGCACGGGCATATATATCATCGGATTGGATGAAGCGGGGGAGCTGGGGCACCCGTTTCAACACCTCCTTGAATGATCATCCGAATCCAGACCTGTGATTTCCGGCCCGTATAAATAAAGCGTAAAGGAACTCTTCTGATTTACTGACCCCATTTGGCGCTTTGTAAAAGTACAGATGGCGGTAGAGGACCATGATTGTGAGGAGATACGATCTTGCCCCCCCACCAGTTGAAGGGGTCCCCCTTACAAGACTCGTGATATGTGCCCGGCCACACTCCATGTCCGGTCTGAGAATATCCACTCTCGGGGCACCTCCGTTTTCTTCACCGCAGTCACAGTGACCCATCCCCGAGTTCCCCGCTTAATCTGTCCGTAACATTGCCCTGTCGTTGGGCCTCAAAACCCGCACATGCTCAGGGCCCTGACGCCCGAATATGTTCACGACTTGGCATCCCTTGGCCAGTGCACTTACACCAGTATTTTCATACCGAAATAGGATCCAGTCTCCCTGCGCTCACAGGGTCAAAGCAGGCGCATAACATTAACTTTCAGTTCGACAGGCGCCAGCCTTGTGGTTCGTTGGGCCAGGTAAGGAGCACCCCTATTTCCCCCATGATACTCCAATCTATCGACCTAAAAAACGGCCCAGTGCGTCCCGGGCCTGTCGAGGAAAGCGCTTGAGTGCAGCGCAGCACATACTTTGTCTGCTCATGAAGCTTTCTCTCCTCACCCACAGATCACCCACAGGTGCAGGGCGCCTGCTATCAGACAGAGTTCAGACAGAGTGTAGGAAAACCCCAGCTAATAGCTCACACAAAGATCCCACTCAACCACAATTGGCCGGCACAGGTTGACTCGACCCCACCATTCGCTCTGCCCCCCGGTCATCCCCCGTGGGCCCCTCCTTGCCCGCCTCCATCCAACAAGCACAACGCACCCGACGCCCGCATCTCACCCGGGAAGCGGTTCAAAAAGCGGGAGAAGAAGAACAGGCTCGGCGGCTACGAAACGTCGTCGCGTGGGTTCCCCTCTCCTCCTGCCCTCTCGCTCGTCCATCAAACGACCGAAACACATCCAGAAGGTGGGGTTGGACCTGCCAGCGAAGCACCTTTTACTCGTTCCATCGTCGCTGCACGTTGCTGCATACCTACCTAAGCACCCAGCACAGCCTCGCTCTCCAAAGCACTGCCACGGTGCCTGGAAGGCTGACTCCCAAACTGCCTCGTCGCGCGTTCTAAAGACAGAAACACCACGTACAACACCATTGACTCTCTAGCGGTCCGACAGCGAATCAGCGAATTCATGGACCAACAGCTTCCCCAGGCCCGCGGGCGATCGCTCTCGGCCGCATCTACTGGCGGGGGCCACCACCACCAGCAGCCTCCCAATATAATAAGAGATCACTCTCCTTCGCCCGCCCGCTTTCCCAATCCGAATGATGCCGTCGTCTCTTCTATCGGTCTCGGTCTTGGCCTCGTCGACCAGCAGTTTCCTACCGCCCAGCCCGACTACTCGGCTTACAACGCAAACTCCAACAGCTTCTTGAACAACCACCAGCCCTCGCCCCAGCCCTTCTCCCAGCCGGGCTTGTCTGACCCCTCCAACGTCCCTACCTTTGACCTCAACCAGAGCTTCACGGACCCCCTCAAGCCCGAGAACTCCTCCTTTGGCACCTCCGCCCCGAGCACTTACCCCCAGCCTCAGACGCTCCTGGCCCCGAGCTTTGGCGACGCTGACTTCACCATCTTTCCGCCGACCCCCGGCGAATCTCAGTACGACGCCCCGCTGTTTGTTGGCGACAGCCAGCAGCAGCTCAACAGCGCAAACGCCAACATGATGGCACAGTCAAACCACAACCAGACCCCTCCTCACCTTCTCAACCCCGATCCTCAACAGCCTGGCTCTGCCCAGCACTCTCCGTCCTTCAACCAGCATCAGTTTCCTCCTCCCGGGAGGCATTCTAGGAATGTGTCACTCGGGCCCGAGGCGGCGCTTCTTCCGGGCCAGGTAGACTGGACCCGTGCTCAATTTCAGGGGCATAGACGCTCCCCCTCCGAGTTCTCCGATGTCTCCTCCGCCGCGCCTTCTCCCCTCCTCGTCAGTTCCGATAGTTTCGAGCAGCATGATGGCCATTCACCGATGGTGCGCCCTCAAGATGCCGGTCTTTATCAGGAGCTACATGGCATTGGAAGCTTTAGCATCTCGGACCACGGAGCTCACAGCCCAAATCACCCCGGAGCCAGGAGTCCATCACATAGCCCAGCCATTTCTCCACGTATTCTGCCTCAACAGCTGCCTGATGTGAACCAGAACAACTTCATGCTCCAATCACAGGGCAATTATGGTCACCCTTCGCCATATCTGCAGAGTTCACAGGAGGCCTTTCCCTCGCTGCCACAGGAGACGGAGAATATAACCCCCAACCAAATGCCAGCACCTCCTTCCATTAATATCGATTTTGCGCCGACAGCCGTTAGAAACGGGTTTGATCAGCCCAAGAGCCTCGATGTCGACTCTCTTACACCGCCGGAAAGAGGTATGTCTTTTTTTTTCATTTTTTTTTCAAAGAAAATCCGAAATGTCAAAATACTAACATGAGCCTGTTCCTTGCTCAGGACGAAGATTGGCTCGACCTCGTGCGGTAACAGATCCGTACAACACGAGCGGAGCGCTTCTTGGTTCCCATCGTAGCCCTTCCGCCACTGGGAGTTTGTCTCCCAACTCTGCTTCGGATGGTCGCTCCGATATTTCCCGCTCACTCTCTCCACTTGACCGGTCTGGGGCATCCCCTAACAGACGGCGCCAATCTACCTCGTCGGTGCCCAACAATGTCATTGCCCTTCGGCTGGCGGACCCAGAATACAACGGCGGCGTGGCTGGCGAGGGTGCCGGTGGCTCAAAGCGTGTCCAAAAACACCCAGCAACCTTCCAATGCACACTCTGTCCAAAACGCTTTACTCGTGCTTACAATCTGCGGTCACATCTCCGCACTCATACTGACGAGCGTCCGTTTGTATGTACCGTCTGTGGAAAAGCTTTTGCTCGACAGCATGACCGCAAACGACACGAAGGACTGCATTCGGGGGAGAAGAAGTTTGTCTGCAAAGGAGACCTCAAGAGCGGCAGTCAATGGGGTTGCGGTAGACGGTTTGCCCGTGCGGATGCGCTCGGCAGACATTTCCGCTCAGAAGCTGGGCGGATATGCATCAAACCACTTCTCGACGAGGAAATAAACGAGCGACAACGGCAGTGGAACGAACAGCGCATGCAACAAGCTGCGGTGCAGGGCATGGTCATGCAGGCTCCTGGTATGATGATGCCTCCCGGCATGGACCCGAACGCGGGTGCGTACCCTATGGACCCCAACGGCAACTATGCGCTACCTCAGGCACTCTTGGCGCAATACCCAGCTTTGGCACAGATGAATTGGTCAGACATGGGCGGCGGAGGCGGCATAGAGGACGATATCAGTGGAAGAAGCAGCTACGATGCCAGCGACTATGACGACGAAGCTGATGGCGGCTACGTCAGCGGGCCTGGTACAGGGTTTGGGCCCGGAGGGATGCAGGAGAACTTTGGGGAGATAGGGTACGCAAGCGACTATGGAGGACGCTGATGATCAGGCTGTTGCTTCCAAAACACAACACAAAAGATGAATTCGTGGATGGTCTTTGCGTAGCGCGTCGATTTGATTGAAGGGGGTTTCTTTTACTTGACCCTTTTTTTTGAACAGCATATCATTACTTGGGGGGGGGGGGGCCACATAGATGGGAGACAGTCCCCCTGTCTTATATTTCGCTGGAGATATCCGATTATGGCCGCAACTTTTACACAGGGCATCGTTTTTTGGATGACTTGATGATGATTTTTTTTAATTTTATTTTTTTCAAGTATTGGCCTTATTTGGGGATTTTAGCCCAGGATACGGCGGTGGGCTGGTTTGTTATGGCGAGGGAATTTCGAAAAGGAAACATGTTGGTGTTTTTGGATTCGATTCTTGAAATTATATCGGGCGAGATCGCACGCATCTGATGCGATTTGGTTGCTTACAGATACCAATCTACTATGTTTTATTGGCTTCCACTAGACATCTTTGATCTTGATCTCCAGAGATTGTAAATATCTATCAGCGTCAGAGACTGAATCACACACATCTCTGGGCGACGAAAATAGTGTGGGACGGCACGTATAATCAGTTCAGTTGGTTCATGGGGCCGGATCGACCAGCGAGAGCCGTAGAAAGACCTTGTAGGTGTCCTGATCGACCTTTAACACAAATCGATGTGGAAAATAACGACAGTGAATCGATCCTCCCACCCCTGCCAAGATACGGACATCAGATCATGCCCCGTCAGATCCAGAGACGATGGGTGTATCGAAGCGGGTATCGTATACAGCCTGAGCTACTTTTTGTCTTCGCCCTGCGCATCACACCTCTTTCCCAACAAACTGCATTGCCGGATAGCGTCATACATGGATGTAAAGTGGTATCCCGCTGCCGGTTGCTGGCCCGCTCTCGGAGGGGGGGCGCAGACAAGGCCATATGGCAAAGTTGGAATACGCTGTGGCACGGTGGTATCTCGGGTTGAAGGTGGGATGAGCACTCGGGCGAGAGGAAGGATGATGAGATGATGTCTGCATAATAGGAGGTCTTTCACTGGCGGGATGACGACCGATGGACATGAGGTTGCAAAGATGCAACATGTTCATATCCCCTGGTTGATATCAATTGCTTGTTAGCCCACCCCCCTCTTGCCTTTTGCTACAATCATCATTGAAACTCCTTTTCTGAGCACACAATTGCCAGAATGACTCTTCCTAGCGAAACGAGGGCTGTTATCATTGCCTCCATAGGCAAGGCCGAGATCAAGTCGGTCCCCCTCCCTACGCTTCGAGACGACTACATACTCGTCCGGACGACAGCCGTGGCGTTGAATCCCACAGATTGGAAGCACGTCTACGGGATCAACCTCGGACCTAATCAGCCAACCGTTATCGGCACCCGTGTAGGCTGCGACTACGCCGGCATCGTCGAGCAAGTTGGGCCCAAAGTGACCAAGGCCTTCAAGAAGGGAGACCTCATCTGCGGCCCGGCCCACGGATCCAACGCCGTTCAGCCAGAGGACGGGACGTTTGCAGAATACATCGTGGTGAAAGGGGATGTTCAGATCAAGGTGCCTGGTAACCTCAAAGACTACGAAGCAGCCACGTTGGGAATTGGGATAACAACTGCTGTATGTATTGTTCCTTCAGCCCCCCCCCCTTTTTTTTCTTCTCACAATCACGTGGGTATGGACAATTGACGCCATCACCAGGGCCAAGGCCTGTACCAAGCCCTCTCACTCCCTCTCCCTTCACCAGCTTCCCCTGTCCCGGGCCCGGACCCGGACCCCAGAAGAAAAATCTTGATCTACGGCGGCAGCACGGCCACCGGCCTCCTCGGCATCCAGTTCGCCGCTTTATCTGGATACACCATCGCCACGACTTGCTCCCCGCACAACTTCTCCCGAGTCCGGTCGCTCGTCGGCAACGGCAGCGTTTCTGCATATGACTACCGCTCTCCGACCCTAGCGTCAGACTTGAAAGCATGGGCTGGCGACGATCTGACGGTGGCATGGGACTGCATAGCGAGCACTGACTCGGCAAAGTTGTGCGCTTCTGTGCTGGCGAAGGAAGGCGGGAAGTACAGGTCTCTGCTGAGGGTGCCGGACGAGGTGGTCAAGGGGGTGAATGGCAAGGTTGACAGCGGATTCACGTTTGCGTATACGGCCTTGGGGGAGGCGTTCAGGAAGGCGGTGGATATCCCGGCTGTGGAGGGGGATTTTGAATTTTGCAAAGCAATTTTGGGGACCGGTTAAAAAATTGTTGGGCTCAGGGAAAGGTAAAAAATGTGGAAAGC